CTGACTAAGCTATGGAAACAGCCGATGAGACCCTTGGTGCGTGGCCTATGCCCTTGGAACCCCTAGTCCAACGTACATCAACATGACGTGGTATTTCGTCGAAAAACCCTGGGGAAATTCTGCGGCTTGGAGCTCCAGCGGTCTGCGGTGCTTCTCGCGGTTGACGCGATGCAGCATCAGCCTGGATGGAGTTACTCTAAACCGATGAAACTATCAAGGAACGCCGTTCAGGAACGAAAAGCAACACTGACATATTTCGCTGAGCCTTTGTTACTCGCATGCTGCGTGGAGAAAATTGGGTGCGAGGGAAAATGCTGAACAAACAAATGAGCGAAGGACAAGGTTCATCACAACTGATCGGCTCACATCTCTCGGTCGGACTGGACGCCCCTAGCAAAAGGTGAGATCGAGTGGGAAAGAGAAGAGGAGCAGGGCTGACTTGCCTTGGACTTCGCGTCAGGCTTTGCCTTGGCATCATCCACGCTCTAAACCAGAACCGTTAAAAACGTGTTAAGGCGCCAATGCACATACGCACGCCAATTTGGTCGCCACCCCGCTGATTAAGCGCTGCCTCCATGCTCCAAAGATATATTTTTCCGTCTGATCCACCACTAGCAATGTATTGTCCATCACGGGATATGGCAAGAGCAACAACTCCGTCGTCATGTAAGAGTGGATCTCCAGCTGGCTGATTGGTTGTCAGGTCCCAGATGCGAACTGAGCAGTCAATTGATCCGCTAACAAGATATTTTTCATTAGGGGACAGACAGAGGGATCTGACGTTGTTGGTATGACCTCGAAGAACGACGAGCTCCTCTCCATCAATGGACCGCCATTTTCGGATGGTGAGATCACATGACGTAGAGAAGATGTGTGCGCCGTCCTTAGACCAACACAATGACGTCACCATGTCCTCATGTCCCTTGATCTCGATGAGCAACTGCCCGTTCTTGGACCACACGCAGATAATGTCGTCTTCACTACCGCTCGCGAACGTGTCACCTTGTGGAGAGTATTTGACCGCATAAACCCGACCATGACGAGTCCCTACCGGTGGTACTGTTTGTCGGCCAGTATGCGGGTTCCAGCGTCGTATGGTGCCGTCATTTGATCCACTTGCTATCTCCAGAGCATTGGGAGACCAATCAAGGCACCTCACTGCATCATTGTGCCCCTCCCACGGGTCGCCGACCATGATGCCCTTCCTTATGTTCCACAGTCGTAGTCTACCGTCCACACTTCCGCTCACGGCCATTGTTTCATCCGGAGATAATGTCATTGAGCCTATCCCCCCGCCATCGCTATCCAAAGTCTTTCCTACTGGCTCTCCGTCTCTTTTCCAGTGGCGAATCGACCAGTCATCCGACGCACTCAGTATATCGCAACTGGTGCCCAAGCAGGCAAGGCTCCATATGCATTGAGAGTGACCCTCGATGATGCACTCCGGCACCAAGCTCTCTGCCGGACGCATTGGCTTTGGTTTATTCCAGGATGTGGTCCGACTGTCATGGTAGACGAAGTAGGACCGGCCGAGCGGCGAGATGTGCCATTCGCATCCAGCAATAACGAGTTGTCCAGGTTCATCTATGCTCAGCCATGAGTTCCTTGCTCCTAGCGACACGTTCTTCGCTTACCTAGTCGCACTCCTGGTAAAGGTCGGTTCCATGAAACCATAGCAAGCGTGCTGTCTTGATATCTTGTTGTACCATCCAACACCTGAAACTGTCGCCATTGAGGAGGGAGCGCTTCATTCCCACCTGCTTCTTGATGGGTCACTCAATATGTATCACAATACTGTTGCTCACCTTCCCAAAGAGCATCCTGGCGGTGCTGTGCACCATATGGTGGTGGATGCTTCGCTCCCGCTCCAAGAGGTGCAACACGAGCTGGTGAGTCTACCAGCGCTTCTCTCCGTCTGGCTGACGTACTTGACTCGGCATCTTTGCGAGGCATGCAAAGAAGAGGCGATGAGGGCAGGCACAGGAATGCGTAAATCAATAGTCGAGGGCAAGGAAGATAGTGATGATGAACGGATCTGCTAGATGCTCAGATTTGCATGCTGTGGTTGAGAATACAAGTTGGCGGCAGTGCTACACTTCGGGTTGTTCCGTATGATAATCACTTGTACTAAATCTGTCCACGAGCGCTAAGATATGGAGTATGCTTGAGCCCAGGTTCGACAGATATCGAGACACCTGGACCACCGGCCAGAGTTTATTTTGAACAAGTGATCCGCTCGCCTGCGGATGACGGTCTCATTACCTGCGATTGCAGTAATCATGCGAGCATTAATGTTGACATCATCGGGCGGCGCAGTTCCACCACCGAAAGTGAGAACGGAGACAGTAAGATTGCTGCAACCGCCCTCTGTCTCTATAGAGGCACAATGCCAACAATACCGTGGAAGGAGCAGCAGGACGCCACGACGAAGGAAATTGAACTGGGAGGGATCACAACGCACCATCACAACGCACCAGGGTATGAAAGGGGCACAATTGGAGCGCCAAGCCTGAATGGAGTACACGCGTGAGTCAGAGTGGAAAATCAAAGCCTTGGGCTCGAGTGGAGCGCGCACATGGAGGCGACCGCGGGAACAAACGCCTGGTCCTTACATATGGTAGAATATGGACCATTTTAGCTTTCGATGGTGTTGTTGTTGTTATAATCATAAACGTACGTGATACAGTATCGGTCAAGCTCAGAGTTACAGGAAACGCTCGTCAGGTAAGTACTCTAGCATTTGTGATGATCGCGATGCTCCGCACACTTCAAGCGCTGGAACGCCATAAGCATGGAGCTATCTTTGCTCTCCATTTTCAAGCCGTGATAGCAATTACGCCCTGCGGAAACCTTAAGTATCTGCCTTCCGAGGTTCAGGTACGGTGTCGCCCAAGTTATAAAACAAAGCTCACCAGGTGATACTCCTTTATCCATGATAGTAACCGTGATGTGTCGCGGACGAATCGTGAGTGCAGAATCTCTCCGCTGGCGCCCAGCGCCGCGCATCAGTTAGGCAAATCAGTGAAGCTTATCGGAACGTTCTCTATAGTCGGCCTACTCGGATAGTCACAAAAACGCACGATTGCATCGGTGAGCTTATTTTGCCGCCCAGCATCCCTATATCATGCTTCAATGTTTCGTCACCCGCAATATTTCAAAGCTGGATACTGCGGAGTTCATCTTTCGAGGTGAGATCGTTAGCTCGGCGCGACTCGTGTGATGCTCACGAGAGTTTAGCTAGCCATATATTTGTTGTTTATCGCTGCTGCCATGCTGGGATTGTGGCAATGATGAACCCAGCGTTCTCCATTCCCAACTTGACGGCATATCGATTCTAGTAAAACAGCACGCTGTTTCAGATACCGAAAAGTGCGACGTTTCGGGGAGGCCTCTCTCCATCGAAAACTTCTGATTTCGCCTTGCAGACACGCGTAGGAGGAGGGATTAGATAAGTGGTGCAGATGTGGTGACAGATTCTCTGACATATCTCGTTTAAACAGCCCATTTTCAGGACACTTGTCATGAGACCACTGCGTCAGGCCAAGGAGGGATGCCGTGCTAACCTGTGAAGGACGGGACAAGCTCCGTGAGGACGTGTCCATGTTGTGAATGATTGGCTTTGCAGATCCAAGGCGCTTGATACGGATTTTCCCCACCCTAGGGTCTTCCGTATATGGAGGGTCTGCATTGATTCTGCTCATACCAACGATGCTAGGAAGGATGGGGCCGATGTAGAGTCACCTTTCCGGACTTTCTTGTAAGTTGAATATCGAAACAGGCAATGACATTCAATACCTGGAAATGCGGACGCAGAAGAGGAAATTTGTCTCTGGCCACAAATAGCTAGCTCAGGAGCTACATTTTGCAGGCTCCGGCCGGAGCGATGGCACAACCTCCCACAATCGGCCCTACGCCCTCACTGCAAACCATCATTTCTTGGCCTCATACCTACATTGGGAAGGCAATGATGAAACTGAATTTGCGACCGTGTGTGCAATTGATTGACACCATATGCTGCAACGACCACCATTGGGGACGTCTTGTAGCATGTGCTTGGAACTGATAAAATCTTATCTCGGATAGTAGAGCCATCTGATCAGATACTTGATGGGTCAAAAAGGTCGCGATGTGATCGTACAATGTACTGAGTAGGCGATGGTGCATCGAGCTCCGGATCAAATGCGCAATATACATAATACTCACTGAAAGGATCCTATCCGCGTGTTGCGATGTGGTGGATGTAACACGTAGCACATTGAAGGCGACTTTGATAACATTTTTGTCTGGGGAAAAAGAGGCTTTTTAACATGTGCTTCAGGGATTATTTATATTCGCAGCTCGTAGAACTGCACCTTCATATTTTAGGCGAATTTTGATGAGTGCAAGTTTGCTGTGAACTTCATTGCGACACACTGAATGGTGTCACATGGGTGTTTGAGACCAAAATCGATACGGCACGCATGTTTTGTGAATGAGACAAAATTTGGCTGGCTCTGCCTCTGGATGCAATCAAGGGAGTGACCATTGTCGGGCGGAAAGACTATTGACGAAATCGCCGCTGTTCAAGGTACTGTGAACAAAGAAGAGTCTCAAGGATCGCTGTCGATCCAGCGGCAATCAGCATAACACAAATATGCATTCATCGGAGGCGCACCTGTTAATATTATCCCTCAAACCCATGATAGAGTGTGGGATAACATACAAATCCCAATATACCTTCATCATGGAATTCATGGCTACGGTAGAGTCTGAGACGTCCGAGGTTGGCGCTGTATCAGTTCCGATTGTAAATGAAACGAGGACATAGTAATGTCATGAAGCTCTGTTCTGGAGTCGAGAAAGCAAATCAATTCGTCCGTGAGCGCTAGTCTGCAAGATGCTGATGGCGCCAGCCTGTACATGACTGTGATGCGGCAAGTTGCGGCAGAGCACATGACACCAATCTTGATAATTATTACTGCGCAGTGCGCAGGACCGGTTTGTTGAGTGGTAAGCGAGCGCTTGAATTTGAGCCGAAAAGTTGAACCTAGGTTCGTTGAATGTTACAAACCAACGTGTTCATTACCGGTTGTCGTTTAGAATCCAGTTTGCTCACTACCGACTACCTACGCAGTACTTCGAAGCACTGGTGCCGCATTTCGTGCTTTAGTCCCGACTTGGTTCAAAGTCAACCGGGATAGCACGTCTAAAAGCTTCTCTGGGGAGCAATGGCGATTCAATTGTGTCCAGACAGTGGCGCGCTGGATCTATCAAATGCCTGCGTACGCGCCTCTCTCAGTGCGATTGTACCCGCTGTGCTTGTCTCAGCGTGTCTCTTCTCCATACCCCGGATTCCTGCATTCGCTCGTCCACTTACCAACGCTATCAAATCGCCCTTCCGCAATTTTTTGACCTTGCGCGAGGCTGAAGCTCTAGATATTCAAGAGGGAAATACATGCGACGTCGTCGTCGACAACACCGTTCCTCTATGGCACACTGTACTACTCTCGTTCGTCGCTTTGGTTCAGGCACTCGTTTGGACCGCTGTCGGTGCATACAGTATCATCATGAACAAGGCCCATATCTGGACAGGTATCGCACCACTTCTCATCGCTGCCACTTGGATATATGCCTCCTGCAAGCCTGTCTTCTGGCCTAAGCCAACTATTCACTACGATCTCTTCGCCCTGTTTATGATTCACTTTGTCTTTGGCATCGTCCTGCTTGGTGGTACTTTGTATGAGCACGAAGTTTTCGGTGTCCCATTGCCTCCACACCTCCCATTCTTGGGCCTCATTTCTAATCTCATCGCTATTCTGGTGGTCCTTACCGTCGTAGGAAATATGCCCTTTGAACTGCCAAGCAATCGTATCAAGAAGGAAGATATCGTGGGTTGATATCTCTTTAATTGCCGCCTTCTTATTTTCTTACTCGCATCACAGTATGTCAAGCACTCGCCTGAAGATTATGCTACCATGTGGGAGTGGATCATGTTCTCATGGGTCTACCCTCTCATTACTCGTGGCTCGAACATGACCATGAACGAGGATGACGTTTGGAACCTTAGTCCTACTCAGCAATCCCGTCCAGTGTTCATCAAGTTCAGCACCATCATGTACGTATAGACCGTGCTAGGACGCGACCCCTTGTTGATGTCGATGCTCAGTCGTTCTTCTCTCCTTCGCCGTCTGTGGGCCGCCAACTCAAAGGATCTTTTGTGAGCCCCTTGCCCGTTTTTACTGAAAATGTTACTTAACGCTCGAGTCAGACTGGATTTCTGCCTGACCTATGTCAGCGTCACGTTCACTTATGCCTCGCCATTCTTTTTGAAGTGAGTACTGCATTTTATTATCTTGCCACCAAACTTAACAATGCTCAGGCGTATCCTTGATGCCATCGATGAACCTGAACCTACCGCACAGAACAGATCCCAAGCATACATATACGCTTTCTTAGCCTTCCTGTGCACATTATTAAAGGTATGTATGTAAGCCATCCACTCGAGCTCTCATTTATGCTGCACCAGGCGGAAGCCGATGTCCAACACCTGTGGTTCGGGCGGCGAGCAGCAACAAGGATACGTGTCGAGTTGATGGCTGCCATCTACGACAAAGCTCTGAAGCGCCAGGACTACTCAGGCATCATCGACAAGGACAAAGCAAAGGAGGCTGCCGACAAAAAAGCGGGAATCAAGCCTGTCCAGAATCCGACTGCGGATGACCCAAAGGCTGGTGCAGATGTTGGAAAGATCGTCAATTTGATGGCCGTAGATGCTAATAGGATTGCCATGATGATATCCGGCGCGTATTTCATTTATGGAGGTCAGTTATATTTGTCTTCCCTTGCTCGATAGTTTATCCATCGCTATTGATAGGTCCGTTCGAGATTATCATTGCCACGACCTTCCTCTACAAGTAAGGAAGTCCATTCATGACAATCGACGTATGAGACTTACCTTCTATTTACAGTCTTCTGGGTTTATCTGCATTTGCTGGCTTTGTTGTTCTTCTCGCTGGTTGGCCCCTGAACAGCTATGTCACTAAACGCAGCATTCGCATCCAGAAGGGTGTATCTACTTCGCGAGACAAACGCATGGCAGTCCTAAACGAACTCATCAGTGCTGTCAAATTCATCAAGTTCTTCGCGTGGGAGGACCGCTGGATTCAACGGGCCATGGAGGCACGTGGGGTGGAGATGAACTGGATGGTGAAGTGTAAGTAGCCACACCGTCATTTTTGGAAGTCCATTGACGAACCATCATCAGCTCGGATCAACTCAGTGCTATTTTCACTGATCTGGACCTCCGCTCCTATCTTGGTGTCGCTCATATCATTCCTCGTTTTTGTGTATCAAGGCAACCAGCTGACTGTGTCGATTGCATTCACGGTTAGTTCAGTGATTATTAGAAATCCGCTGAGATTGCTGACGCGGTATTGCAGTCCATCGCACTGTTCGGCATGATTCGGTAAGTGGTGAATGATGTATTTATCTCGTTCCGTGGCTCATGTAGGCGTCAGTCAGCCACTAGGTATCATTCCAGCTTGGATTGTTCAGATCCTACAGGTATGATAGTATCATTCACTTTTAGAGAGTTGTATCTGATGGCGGGCTTTCAGACTGGCGTTGCACTGAAACGTATCGAGACATACCTCGAGGAGGACGAAGTCGACGAGCATGTGTCTTCCATCAAGAAGGCTCGCGCGCCCCATGTCGATGGAGAGGATGACACCCTTTCAATCGAGAACGGCTTCTTTAAGTGGAACGAGGTACCCGAGAAGCCTGAGGAAACATCAAAAGCGAAGGGCAAAGATCACTCTCCTTCTCCGAGCGACGAGACTGCGACTGCCGTTGATTCCGAGTCTGAGTCCATCCGTTCGCCCTCCGAAGATCATAGATTCGAGCTCAGAGATATTTCGGTACGGTTCCCCGAGGGTGAACTGTCTGTGATTACTGGACCGACGGCGAGTGGTAAGACTGCTTTGCTTGTGAGTAAAGTTTCGTCCATCAGATCTAAATTTCACATGATATTCTTTGTTAGATGGCATTGCTGGGCGAGATGACTACCATCAGCGGAAAATTGACCATTTCGAAGAATACATCGAAGATCGACGAGAATGGACTTATGCACTCGATGTCATATGCCGCTCAATCACCGTGGCTGCGCCACCAGTCCATCAAAGACAACATTCTATTCGGGCAACCTTATGATGAGGAGAGGTACAACGATGTCATCGAGTGTTGTGCGCTAATGCTGGACCTGAATATCTTGGAGGATGGAGACGAAACTGAAATTGGCTCAAGGGGTGTCAGCTTGTCGGGTGGCCAGAAAGCTCGGTGAGGTGTGGTTTTTCGAGCTTTGTTTGGGTAGCTCATGGTCTTTCAGTGTTGCCCTCGCCCGTGCGGTGTATGCTCGCACGAAGTATGTCCTGTTGGATGACCCACTGAGTGCTGTGGTGAGTGTAACTTTGCACCCGTTCATACATCGCTCTCATGCGTATATTGCGAACAGGATAGCCATACTGCCCGGTTCTTGTACGAGAGACTCTTCCGCGGACCATTGATGGAAAACCGTACTGTGGTATGTTCATTCACGATGATGAAAAGCGGTGTATAATCCGTTCACAGATCTTGGTTACTCACCACGTAGAGCTCGTGCTTCCTGGTACATATTACCTCGTCCGCATGCTGGACGGTCGTATCGATACCAAGGGAACCGTCAAGGATCTCCGTGCGCAGGGCATTCTGGACCACATTGCGCAAGATTCCACTGCGGAAGTCAAAGCAGAGGAACCTGTGGCGGCCATCGAGACCCCTGTCGAATTGCAGGAGGACAGCGTTGAGGCAGACGCGTCTGTGGGATCGAAGAAAAAACCTCGCAAGCTTATCAAGGATGAGCACCGGGAGGCTGGAGGCGTCAAGTGGTCGATTTATAATGCGTACTTGAAGGCATCGTAAGAGTTTTGTTGCATACCAGGTGTTGTTTGGCTGATTGCAGTTGCTGGCAGGTCGTACCGCACGTGGTTTTTGCTTGGGATTCTGATTGTTTGTTCGCAAAGCTTGGGTGTTATTGAGAAGCTCTGGGTTCGGGTGAGTCAATGTCCTCTTTTTCATTCTCGGAATCTCATGTTTGTTATAGGAATGGGGCCAAGCATACGGCGAGGATACCGAGCCAGCTCCCTACATCATGACGTCCTCTGTATTGACCGAGAACGAGGCGCTGATGAACGGCTACATGCCCTACCATGACCATCAACACTACTCGAACAGTTACTTCCATGTTAACACCACTGGCTTCGGCCCGATCGCATTGCCTGACGTTCATGAACACCCGTTATTCTACGTTGGTGTGTACGCATTGATCGGGTTTGCCACCGCCGCAGTCAGCATATTGTCGACTGCTATTCAGTATAACGGAGCGTTGAAAGCATCAAGATCTATTTTCCGCCAGCTCTTGACGGGTGTCGTGCGTGCTACGATGCGCTGGCATGATGTCACGCCGGCTGGCCGCATGCTCAATAGGTTCGGAAAAGTATGGTCAAAAGGACTGCTATGATGAATTGTCAACTAATGCACGGTGGCCTGTAGGATATTGAAACTATCGACAGCAATCTTGCTAGCTCGCTATCAGCTGTCAACCAGTCACTGGCGACGTTTGCGGCTGCGATTATCACCGTCGTGTAAGTCCCTGCTCATGTCTCTACAATTCATGTGCTCATACCATCGGCTTCCTAGGTTTTTCTTCCCGCTTTTCCTTATCCCTGCTGTGGTGATAGGTTTCTTCTACCGCTTGCTGGCTCTTGGGTATCTGAAGACTGGTAGAGATCTCCGTCGTATGGAGTCTAATTCCCGATCGCCCATCTTCTCTGGGTTTGGCGAGTTGCTCGAAGGTATTGTCACGGTTCGGGCTTTCTCTGCTGAACAGCGCTTTTTGGATGACCTACACAGCAAAATCGACGTTACTACCAAGGTAGACTCAAATTCGGACTTACTGTACGATGGCGCTGACAGGTGCTGTGACAGATGTGGTACAATTTCTGGATGACGAATCGATGGCTCTTGTTGAACTTTGATGCGCTCGGTGGGTTGGCTGTGTTGACCACTACACTCCTTGCGCTATCAGGTTATGTCAAGGCTGGTACCGCGGGTCTATGTATCACGAGTGCGATGACCTTTACCTCAAGTGTTTACTGGGCTTGTCGGTTCTGGACAGCCCTTGAGCTTGACTTAAAGTATGTGGAAATGATTGTCGATGTTCTTGTGCTCATGTGTATCCATCTCGCCCTTTTAGCTCCGTCGAGCGTGTTGTGGAATACCTCGATTTACCTCAAGAACCTCCTGCCGTCATCGAGTCTAGCCGTCCTCCTGCTTATTGGCCTTCTAGCTCAACGAAGGAAGGGTTGATAACTGTTGAGAATCTGGTCATCAAATACGCCCCTGAGCTCCCTCCTGTCTTGCATAATGTTTCTTTCTCTCTCAATTCGAAGGAGCGAATTGGGCTTTTGGGACGTACTGGTAGTGGAAAGTCGACTTTGGCAATGAGCATTCTTCGCTTTGTAGGTGATACTTAGTAAGGGGCGGTCTGTGTTTGCTGATCTGATCTGTCAGGTCGATCCTGTCAGTGGTCGTATCCTAATCGACGGGATTGACATCTCTACGATTGGTGTCCATGACCTTCGCTCTCGTTTGGTGAGTTTGCGATATATCGATTGTGTGTACCCTGTTGCTAACTCCGCATGCAAGACTTTTATTCCTCAGGTGAGTCTGTATTCTGGTGCCGCGCCTCACATGGGATTAAGCTAGTGGCAGGACGCAACTCTATTCTCGGGCACTTTGAGAGATAATCTTGATCCATTCAGTGCGTTAACATTTTTGGCTGCGGTATACAGAAGATGAACCCTTTTCAGGTGAACACGAAGATAGCGAATGTTTGGACGTCCTATATCGCGTGCAAATGATCAGTGAAAGTGCATACCAATCTCAACACACCTCTCGCGCACCTTCTCGCGCATCCACGCCCGACGACGCTGCCTCTTCTGCTGCGTCGACGGCTGTCACTGACGTGGACTCCAAGACGACCATCACACTCGACACACAAGTATCCGCAGGCGGCACAAACTTCTCGCAGGGTCAACGGCAGCTAATTGCAATGGCGCGTGCGCTGTTGAGGCGGAGCGCGATTATTGTCCTTGACGAGGCAACAAGCAGCATTGATTTTGATACCGACGCGAAAATTCAGGCGACGATCAGGGAGGAGTTCACGGATTCCTTATTGCTCACAGGTCAGTAACTTATTTTTGGGAGATTAGTTAGCATTCACTGATGTCATGCCTATCTTTTTCAGTTGCACACAGATTACGCACCGTGATTGATTACGACCGTCTTATTGTGCTCGATAAAGGAGAGGTACGTGTTACAATTGGTTGAGCGGACTCATACTTACGTGTAATTGTACTAGGTTGCGGAGTTCGATACACCTTTGAATTTGATCCAGAAGGAGGATGGGATTTTCAGGACGATGTGCCTCAAGAGTGGAACGTTCACTGAGCTTGAGGCGGCTGCCAAGGCCAAGGCTGAACGCGATGCAGCCAATGCTGGGGCATGATCGAGTACGAGTGACTCAATAGTTGACTTGTTTATGTATGCGCTTTTGGGTTATTTTCTCATATATAATCAGAGCTGAGAGCGGAATTATTATTAAGAAGAAACGACTGTCTCCCTCAGGCTGTGAAAACACCTTGATGCAAGGGGTGATCCTCAGTCTCGGACAGAAGATAAGAAGTAATTCAGTACAAGTTGTTGTGTAGCTAGGAAGGGGTGACTTTCACACTAAGTGAGGATATCGGAAACATCCGGAATTACCATAATATATAACACATTAACTAAGAATGAACAGTGAGTGCATCACTTGATCTCCCTCGAGCCATCCCCATCACCCATCACCCCCTCCCAATGGTCTGACTACTACGGGAGACTACAGCGGGACCGAGTGGACGAGACGTAGATGGAGAAATTAGTTATATGTAAGTCGTCACAGATGAGTACATGGGAATGGAAGGACTCCTTATCTTCCTTCTATTTGGTCTGCCTATAGAGATTAACGTCAGGTTACCCAACATACGAGGAAGACCGAATGAATTTTGCCACGTATTGGTCTATAATGTGGAAGGAGGAACTCCAATGACATGCCGCCACCATGTTCGCCCGCGCCTGGCCAACGTCACGCCAGCACCATGGAAAATAATGCTTCCACTTATATCCACACATAACAGAATCTTCTGTGACCCGGAATCCCTGAGAGTCTCCATGTCCCTCCCAACACATACCCAAGTTTGGCGTGTCAAGAATTCTCCTGCACAGTCTGTAGTCCTTGACTTTTCCGACGATGCAACGTTTGCCTTGACAGAGGAACCGCTGCCTCGTATTGAGGATGGAGAGATGCTTGTGGAAAATGTGTACTTTTCCAACGACCCTGTGCAACGAAGTTTGTTTTTCATTCATGTGGTTGGACCCAGATCGATAATGATGTTCCAGGCTTGATTCAGAAGGATGTCTTAGAAGAGAGCCTCTGCGCCCCTCCCGTGCGTGAGGGAGGCGTAGTGATTTCTCATTCCGTCGCTCGTATTCTTGCGATCAACGACAACACTAGCTCAGGATTTAAGGTGGACGACCTCATTTTCTGCATGACTGCTGGGTGGCGACGATACGCGGTGGTCAAAGCAAACTCCTCAGCATGCCTACCTCTGATGTATGTGAATGCGGTCTCTGGTCCTTCGCACTGCTGATCTGACACAGGGTGCCCGAAAACGTGCCAATTACTGCCGCTCTTGGTCTATTTGGAATCTCTGGATATACTGCGTACTGTAAATTGCCATCAATACGTGGGATGTGTTACATTTTGACTTCTTGGGAAATCACATATAGATGGTCTGAAAGATATCTTGAAACTCAAGGAAGGTGATTCTCTGATTGTCAGTGGGGCTGCGGGGTGAGTCTATCTTAATTCACACTATTTTTCTAATGGTATTGATACAGAGCTGTCGGCAACATTGTGGTGCAATACGCCAAGAATGTCATCAAGGCAAAAACAGTAATCGGGATCGCCGGGTCAGAGAAAAAATGCAAATGGCTCAAGGAAATTGGTGCAGACATCGCCCTCAATTATAAAGCAGATACATTTCCGCAAGATCTTCATGACGCGACTCCGAACCTTGTGGATGCATTCTTTGACAAGTAGGCCTTTGTAGTTTCTATATTTTGAGTATTTATTAACCGCGTTCCTGTGCGCAGTGTCGGGTAAGCTGCACTTGCAAGAAGTTTACGTCCGTTGTCTAAAGCAGGTGCACCAGTGGTTTTATCCTGGATCTGGCGATTACACGAATCAAACGGTTTGGTCGCATCGCGGCGTGTGGTTCCATTTCAGGTTATAAACATACGCTTGCGACTGACATACCAAGTTATTAACCGTTATTGGCAGGATACGACAAGGACGTCGGGATACCCACGATGGGTACTACATGGTCCGAAGTAACAACCAAACGCTTGGTTATTCAAGGCTTCACTGCCCTCGACTTTATGTTCCCGGCGGACGGGTCCCAGAGAGTGGCCACGGAAGGCTATCCAGACATCGCTAATGCACTTCAGCGGGGAGACATCACGCTCGAAGATGCGGAGGAAATTGTGGAGGTACCGTTCACAGATGTTCCACAGGTTTGGGGGATGCTGTTCACCGGCGGCAACTCTGGGAAGTTGGTGACAAAGCTTAAACCCATGGCATGATATGATGTCAAAAAAAAATCATTCCGCGTAACCTGCAGGGGGCAGGCAATGCGCATTGGTAATGTCAAAACGCTTGAACGCGGCGCTCAACTCGCTTCGAGAAAAATCAGGCATGCGTGTTATGGACCATGTAGCTCTCACTGAGGCAAAACTAGTGTTCGTTTGCCCTCCAGCTTGGTTGTGTTGCTATTTGGTGTATCATTAATGGGACGTGAATTATGAGGCAATGAGGGCAGAGAGGAAAATCGCATATCACTTGTTCCTTCATTTTGATCACTTGAATGAAGTGGACGAAGGGTGTGGCTGAACGCGTTAAAGAGAAGTATTACGATGGATTCAAAAACAAAGGCTACGGCAAAAAGAGTGCGGTAGTTATCTGTAGGGTATCTTGCAAGAGTCCTCAGTACCATTTCATCTATGTTTGCGTGAGAAACGAATGGGTGCATTGCGGTAACGAGTATACTTCGCGGGATCGTCAAAGTTTCGGTGCCGGCAAAGGAGTACCAGACGCTGAATGTCGAACATAGAGAGCCTGTTAGATACTGATCTTGAAGGCACTCAGCGCGGTTGAGCAGTCGAATGATATCGGTGAACTGCAAGTTGTCTATGTTGTATCCACTCTGGATGGGAGGACAGAAAACAATCAGGACAGCCCTCGGGAAATTTGGATCGCAGCGCGAGTTGCGGATTCCTATCTAGGCTGAGTGCTGATCAGTGCTGTGCAGCTGCAGGGGGGAATGTTTACGATAGCTAGTATCTATAAAGAAGGATCACGGTATCACCTCTGCAGGTTTGATAGACACGGCAGCAACTGGGCTCCAAGCCTCCAAGTAGCATTTCTTCGCGCAATTTGCTACCTGCGCATACCCCTGCAGCAACACTTTGGTGGGAGATTGCCTGTGACTAGGGGTTAGTTAAGCAACGCAAATTCTAGCTCTGCATTGTGCCACGGTGGTCACAAAGACAGGCACAGGATGCACAAACGGTGGGTAGAGATTATTAGACGCCTATCGATAACACACATCACATCAGTCGAAACGACCATTCCAATCTAAAATGACCCACCACCACCACCACCGTCTACCCAGCAACAGCCCTAACCCTCTGTTTGACCTCCTCCGCCCGCCCACTCCCCCTCCCCTTCGCCCTCCCAAACACCACCACCTTCCCCGCCTCACCCGCCCTTCCAGCCCGTCCAGCACGATGCAAAAAATCAATCATATTCCTCGGCTCATCAACAATAAACACATGCTGGATCCTCGGCGAAAAATCCAACCCGCGCGAGAGCAACGACGTCGTAACAAGCACATGAGGCGTCTGAGCCGGATCACACACACCCGGTCCCGTCGCTTCAGGCCCAGCCATCTTCAAGAACCCGTCAAGGTGGTGGTTTGAGCCTCGTTTGCGCGCGTCGGCACTACCGGTGAGCGCTACGCATTTGATGCCGCGGCTGTCAAGGAATGCAGCAAGTTGCTCGACTTTGTGCCGCTTGTTGCAGAACACGAGGAGTTTGGAGAGTTTGATGGGGCCGGGACCTGTGGCGGTTTTGGAGTGCACGAGGGCGTCTTCGGCCCATACGCGACGGATGCGGCGTTCGATGTCTGCGCTCTTGTTCCCGCCTGTCCAGGAGGTGTGTTCTGTGCGGAGGGTCGAAGGGAGGTGGTGCAGACGTGGGGATGCAAGGCGGGTGAGGGATGGGTGGTTGTTAGAAAGATAGGTGGAAAGAGATGCGGGGATTGTTGCGCTAGTGAGAAGGAAGTTGAATGGGTAGGAGATTGGTTGTGCGGATGCGTCTGAATCCGGAGTGGAGGATAGGGCTGAGGCAGGAATTACCGGGACAGGCGATCCACGTGCTGCTGCAATATCTGCAAGAAGCATACGAGTGGATTCCTGGAAGTCCGGATCTGTATGATGTTAGTAAACGCGTGCGTAGCTAGAGCCTGAGATGAATACGCACCGAACAGGACGTCTGCTTCATCTACAACCACCCACTGCACGTTCTCCAAACCCATCTCGGGCTCGTCAATCCAGAACTCTCGCGGTGGTTCTTTGTTTTCCCCGTCTTCTTCCTTTACATCTTCGCGCTCTTCAGCTTTCTTCCCTATCTTCATGGCTCGCTCTCGCGCGCGCTCCTCCCAGTTCCAGCCCCTCCCGCGCTCCATCTCAAGAATTTTCATTGGCGTGCCCACCAGTAAGTCTACCGGTCTTGACCCACGAGAAGTTTTCGAGATGATGAACTCAGTGTCGCTCGAAGCACCAGCTCCCTCGAATTTCCCTTTCATTTTCGAAGCCGTTCCACTAGACTTGGCCGTACTTGCTGTATTGGCCTTGCTAGCACACATGACGCGCAATTTGATGACATGGGACAAGCTCTTCGCAAAACTCGCAAGTTGGCGAGTGAGTTCGTGCGTAGGTGCAAGTACGAGCGCACGTGGATTGAGAGGCTTGCGAGATGAATGGTGGACAATAGCATTGGACTGCTCGTGCTCCGTGCGTTTGAGATCCTGAAGTACGGGGAGGAGGTATGCTATCGACTTTCCAGATCCTGTCTCGCTGGCAAGAAGGAACTCCTTGTACTTCTCGCCTTCGACGTGTTCCTGGAATAGATGCTTCATTGAGGATGCTTGAATTGCGGTGGGCCTCGCTTCCGTTCCTAGTGTCTCCTGTAAACTCTGCAACAACCCAGGCATCAAGGGTGGAGAAGAGAATTGAGTGGGAAGGTTCCTGCTTGAGGAAGCGGCTGGTCCAGAAAGATCAAATTCCTCCTCTAAGATATTGACTTGAGATGTAGGGGGTTGACGTGCTACTGCCTTGCGTCTGTCGACACGCTCAGAGTGGGCTTTGATAGCCCAATTCTTGACCTGAGTCTCAGCATCCGCGTCGTCAGTTGGCGCCCGGCGCTTTGGGATGGCTCTTGTTTCAGGATTCGTCCTCCGCCTAAGTGGGCTCTCTCGTTTTTGCGGCGCAAGGCCTTCGTGTGGGACAGCATCACGCTTGAATTCTGGACGTGCTGGTGCTATCTCGACTTTGCCCAGCCTCTTCGCCTTTCCTGTGGGCTCAAGCGATTTTGCCAGGCGAGTGCGTTGTGGAGAGGCTAGTGAAAAGTATGTTTGAGGTCACACAGACGTACATCTGAGACTTACATGGCTTGAAATTCGACTTTTTTCGGGATTTCCTGCGCAGTTGAGTCAACACTACAGACGAGGTGTGGAACCGCGAAGAGGTTATCTCTGAGCTGCCCGGACCAAGAAGTTGGCGCAGGGCCAGCAACGACGCCATGTGGTTGAAAAACAAGAGGAAAAGAAAATAAGACTAAAGAGGATTAACCCCTGTATGGCGGCGAAAGTCGACAGCGAGCCGCTTATGTACACATCACGAGGAAGTCGGAAAACTGGGCGAAAATTGCCACGGTGGATGAATGAAACTCCAATGAATCGCTGCCACCTTCACCCAGGCCTGACCAACGCCACGCCAGCACCAAGGTAGATAACGCATCCATGGCAGAACCGTTATCTTTTGTGACCTGTAATCCCTGACAGCCACCATGTCCCTCCCAACAAGTTTGGCGTGTCAAGAATTCTCTTGCACATTCTGTGGTCCTTGACTTGTCCGATGATGCAACGTTTGCCTTGATAGAGGAACGGCTACCTCATATTGAAGATGGAGAAATGTTCGTGGAAAATGTGTCTTCTCCAACGACCCTGCCAGTGTGCGACGAAGTTCGTTTTTCATCCATGTGCAAGCTGGACCCAGATCGATGATGATATGAATTGATTCAGAATGATGTCTCAGAAGAGGACTCCTGCATCGCTCCTTCAATGAGGGAGGCGTAAAGCAAATTCATCAGCATGCCTGCCTCACATACGTGAACGCGGTCTCTGGTCCTTCGCACTGCTGATCTGACACAGGGTGCCCGAAAACGTGCCAATTACTGCCGCTCTCGGTCTATTCGGTATCTCTGGATATACTGCGTACTGTAAATTGTCATCAACGCGTGGCATGTGTTCTGAAGGCGATTCTCTGATTGTCAGTGGGGCTGCGGGGTAGGTCTATCTTACTTCGGATGATTTTTCTAATGTCATTGATACAGAGCTGTCGGCAACATCGTGGGGCAATACGCCAATAATGTCATCAAGGCAGCATCAGTGATCGGGATCGCCGGGTCAGAAAAAAATGCAAATGGCTCAATGCAGACATCGACTTAATCACAAAGCGGGTACCCGGTACATTATTTGACAAGTGGGCCTTTTGAAGTTTCTATAATTTGAGTATTTGTTGAACGCCTTCCTGTGTGCAGTGTCGGGTAAGCTGCATTGGCAATGTGTTGCAAGCTTTACCTATGTCCTATGCATGCTGCATGGGATAACCTGCGGTCGTAATGAAGCAACTCGAGCTCAATCTGACTTTCTTCTAGATATATCAAAGTGCTCTCACCCGGGAAAGACAACTTGTCCATGACGCAAACTCCCTAGGTCTCAGTGTTTTCTGCTTGATACATTCGGAGTCCGGACGAACTTCCTTGAATTCATACTGTCCTTTGTGATGTGTCACGCCTTTGTTGACTTCGTCTGAGACCTTCATCTGGATACATTGCTATTGAATGATTCAAGATGACGGTATCAGGCGAGTTCAGAATTGTGTTCATACAGCCCGCCTATTCATTTTCTTCTTACTCCATGTAACCACGTCGAACGCGAAACCCACTACTTCATGATTGATTGTGCTGGCAGGCTGTCTTTTTGTGTGTGGCGTCAAAAATGACAACCGTCCAGCGCGGCTCATCATGCAGCAGTGTATCTTCAGATTAAAGTTCGAGCTCGTCGATATTCCTACGCGTCATCGTCAGGACAGAGCACTCAAGATGACGTGGGCAACATCCCCATGCCGGGACTATTGGGCATAAGGCAGAAAGAAGATAGCATCCATCTCGGGGCCGCCGTCCTCGGACATCAATAAATCATCCCGTAAACAACGCAGCCTTTGGCAAATCTGTCGAGATCGGCAACACGGATGCTGAAGGTCGTCTTGTTCTAGCTGGTTCGTACTCCTGCTATCCACTGACGTCATGAGGAATTCTAACTTTCTTAAAGACGTGTTGTACCGCGCATCAACCGAGTTTAAGCCGGACACGGTCATCGACGTTAACGCCGCTCTTATCTGGTATGCATTGATTCCTCACACTTCTCAGCTTCAATTTATAAGCTATACATAGGGCTATGTATACCGCACTGGGTGAGATCTACACCGGTGTTTTTACGGTACGTCATTGCATTGTTGCCTCCCGAGACGTTTTTAACCAAACTCCTGCTCTTTGGAACCGACTGAGAGTTGCCAGAGAGAGCGAGTACACCCGCTTCTTTCGCATGCCCTTTGACGAATATTATGATCCACAGATATACTCTTCTAACGCTGATTGGTGCAACGTTAGTCACCCATCTTGATGCGAGCTTTGCTTGAACTTGACGTTGTCTTTTTCAAACGGGCGAGAAACCAGCAGGTGCATGCACCGCTGCACTGTTCCTTAAGGCGTTTGTAGATGGCACTGAGGCCAAGGATGGGCAGGGACTTTCTGTCCAGTAGGCTCACCTTGATATTCCTGGGGCTATGGCGATAAGAATTTGCTCGTTTATTTGATGTCAAGTGCAGGACGTATGTCGTGGGAACAAGTGCGATCTAAACCACGACGTTGTTTGCAATGCGCCCTTTATCATGGCTCTTCCATCATTAGTTTCTGATCGCTGATCATTCCATTCTAGTTCACGCGCCCATCACCATACCAAGAAAAAGGAATGGGGCCCACGTCCTGTTTGGTAAGAGGTTTTAAAGAAATTGTAGGAGATGCATTTATTTAATATCATCACGCAGAGCATTGGTAGAATATTTTCAGACGTTTCTCGAGCCAAGTATGAGATGTATCCGCAGAGATGTGTCACTACCCTAGGGTTCTATCTTCTTGCATAACATCGGTGACCATAGCGGTAGAATCTGTGTGCGCAGTATGATAGAATATTTGATCAAATGATTACTTGATTTGTGTGGACTAACTGTCTTACGTTTGGGGATTATGCCTTGTTCACCAGTGTAATTGAAAGGGCATCGATCCATGGTCGTATAAAGAGCATATGCTAGATTATGTCACTGGCCGGTGCGCTCCATGTATCTCAACAATGCAACACTGACACTGCTAATATAGTATTCCTCCCTGGAGACTGATTGGTCGATGAATATTGTTTTCCCCCCTTTGTCCTCAGGAATAGTCGTGACAGGGCTGAATATGAGTCGATCAATCATGCATACATGCATGCGCACTGGATCTCGTTGGGTGAGAATCACACCAAAGAACGACGGCTGTAAGATTATCTCGATGCTGATGGATTCGATTATACAGGAATATAACGACAACAAAGAGCTGGGACAGAGCGTAATTAAGTCTGGCTATGATACATCGTCTGGGACAGTAGCAACCTTGAGCGGCGATTAGGATCAACAGGGAGCAAAAATCAAACTTAATTCATGTATTTCTATCTGACCTCTCCATACATAAACTGCCGCAATAATATCATTGTGGAGTACGGCTAGATGTGTTGAATTTAGACAATGCGAGGGATGGACAGGAAAGACTAAGAACTCACGCATCTCGGCAATTCGACCAGCGTGTTCCATGTTCCATTTGGCTCAAATCAAGCTCAACATGCCCTCTCGGGATCACCATTGCAGTTCCAGGAGAATAAAATGCGTATCGGGAAGCTGGAGGCACCCAAAAGAGGAGCCGACGATTGGGTCCCACCATCCATCCATCAGCTGCCAACAAGAAAGGGGTTGAATCGGAATCTTGGTAAGGGGTGCCCTCGAGCAGGCCAGCGGGGTTGCCCAGCGCATGTCCCAAGGTGGATGAGAAGCAAATGGAATGATTGTTCCAAGTGTCGGATATAACAGGACACAGACTCTCCTGTGTACAAGGTGTCATGTCCAAAGTGCGTGTGGAGGAAGGTGGTTCGGTGAACTCGTGGAATGGCTCCGCTGCATCCCGCAGCCGCACAGTATTGTCCTCCGCACCAGACGCGATGCAAGTACCATCTGGTGAGAACGAGACTGATTTAACCAAAGAAGCGTGCCCCTGGAAGGGCTCACCCAATGGCTGTCCCGTTGCTGCATCCCACAATCGGACAGTCTTGTCCTCCGAACCAGACACGATGTGATTACCATCCGGTGAAAATGAGACTGACAAAACCGAGTCAGTGTGCCCCTGGAAGGGCTCACCCAATGGTTGACCTGTTGCTGCATCCCACAGCCGCACAGTCTTGTCCTCCGAACCAGACGCGATGTGAGTACCATCTGGTGAGAACGAGACTGACCAAACCGAGTCAGTGTGTCCCTGGAAGGGCTCCCCCAATGACTGACCCGTTGCTGCATCCCACAGCCGCACAGTGCTATCGTACGAACCAGAGGCGATGCGAGTACCATCTGGTGAGAACGAGACTGAGTTAACCGAAGAAGTGTGCCCCTGGAAGGGCTCTCCCAATGGCTGTCCCGTTGCTGCATCCCACAGCCGGACAGTCTCGTCCAAAGAACCAGACGCGATGCGAGTACCATCCGGTGAGAAAGAGACTGACAAAACCCAAGAAGTGTGCCCTCGGAAGGGCTCACCAAATGACTGACCCGTTGCTGCATCCCACAACCGGACAGTCTTGTCCAAAGAACCAGACGCAATGCGAGTACCATCCGGTGAGAACGAGACTGACAAAACCGAGTTAGTGTGCCCCTGGAAGGGCTCCCCCAATGGTTGACCTGTTGCTGCATCCCACAGCCGGACAGTCTTGTCCTCCGAACCAGACGCGATGCGAGTACCATCCGGTGAGAATGAGACTGAGTTAACCGAGTCAGTGTGCCCCTGGAAGGGCTTGCCCAATGGTTGACCCGTTGCTGCATCCCACAGCCGCACAGTGCTATCGTACGAACCAGACGCGATGCGAGTACCATCTGGTGAGAACGAGACTGACCAAACCGAGTCAGTGTGCCCCTGGAAGGGCTCACCCAATTGTTGACCTGTTGCCACATCCCACAGCCGGACAGTCTCGTCCAAAGAACCAGACGTGATGCGAGTACCATCTGGTGAGAACGAGACTGACCAAACCGAGTCAGTGTGCCCCCGGAAGGGTTCACCCAATGGCTGACCCGTTGCTGCATCCCATAGCCGCACAGTCTCGTCCAAAGAACCAGACGCGATGCAAGTACCATCTGGTGAGAACGAGACTGACCAAACCGAGTCAGTGTGCCCCTGGAAGGGCTCACCAAATGGCTGACTCGTTGCTGCATCCCACAGCCGCACAGTCTCGTCCAAAGAACCAGACGCGATGCGGGTACCATCCGGTGAGAACGAGACTGACAAAACCCAAGAAGTGTGCCCCTCCATGGGCTCACCCAATGGCTGACCCGTTGCTGCATCCCATAGCCGCACAGTCTTGTCCTCCGAACCAGAGGTGATGCGAGTACCATCCGGTGAGAATGAGGCTGACAAAACCGAGTCAGTGTGCCCCTGGAAGGGCTCACCCAATAGTTGACCTGTTGCTGTATCCCACAGCCGGACAGTCTTGTCCAAAGAACCAGACGCGATGCGAGTACCATCCGGTGAGAACGAGACTGACCAAACCGAGTCAGTGTGCCCCTGGAAGGGCTCACCCAATTGTTGACCTGTTGCTGCATCCCACAGCCGCACAGTGTTATCCTCCGAACCAGACGCGATGCGAGTACCATCCGGCGAGAATGAGACCGAGGTAACCCCACCAATGTGCCCCCTAATCACAGTCTGAACAGCTGCCCAGTTGAGATCACGTCCGGATGCCAGACGAAGGCTATTCGGAAACCTTGTAGTGAAATTGGTAGCTACGGTGGAGTTCATGGGGGAGAATGGTAGCGCTGATAAATAGAGATGTGGCGTGCTGTGCAAAATCATGCCGCCAAAGATTTGAATGAATCTTTGCACATCCATTACGGTGGACCGCACATCTTCGTATCCAGAACGGCCCTGTGGTTGGTTGTGAGCTTTTCGTCCAACATTGCCTAACAAGCATATGCTCACATTCAGCCACTGGGCAATCAGCGGACGTGCAGCAACTGCGAGGCTAAGTGCGTTCAAAAGGCCAAGTGCTTCAATCCAGAAAAGCAGCCGTTCGTGGACGAAGAATGATCGTATTTCATTTGCGAGTTCTGTGTCGAAGTCTGTTGCTCGTACGTGCGTAGCCCAGAATCGGCAGGAATAAGACAAATGTGGGGGGATGGATGTTTCGATTCGTCGAGGAAGCCCCGTGTCTTCACGGTTAGGGATATATGAAGACTTTAAATCACATATATTGAAGCGAAGGTCATGTTCCATCACTCGAAGTGATGCGAAAGCAAGGTCGCGCTGTACGTCAGACACATCGACAAAAAAGTCTCCGCTGGATGATTTGTCTGTGAGGAAGTCGCGGAAGGATGCATGAAGGGGTCGGATGGCGGAACATGAGTTGGTGGTGCCGCTGAGCAGGGATCCCATATGTTTTATGATGGCCATGTCGTCATGCCTTCTTCGGTCTGGAAAATGGCTCCGCATGGCATTGAGGGAGTCGAAAGGGAGTGGTTCAGCTGCGCCAAAGATCTGCCCCATCACAGAACGAAAACCTGCGAGTGCTTCTTCGTACTCGTCACCATCATATTGATCCCTGTTCATAATTTCTTTCAAAATGACCTGATAGATATCGTACAACAGGTTTTTCTGCTTTCCTGCACTGCGGTTCACGACAGCATCAAAGCGAGGCATTTTGCGAACACCGGCGGGGGTATCTTTGATGTATCCGCATGCAAGACGCGCCCACTCGAAGAGTCCATCGGCTTTTGCAGCGAGGACTGCAAGGTCTGTGTTAAACTCTGGTAGCCCTTTCAGCTCCTCGGACACGAAAGCGTGAATGTCACGCTCCGCAACTTGTAGCGGAATATCGTCCATGGACAACCGCAGAATATGATTAGCCCCTTTAAACACCTTTTCAATATCGTGAAGCGGGCGTGAGGTAACAAGAATCCGAAAGTTGGATGGGAGTTCGGTGATGTCGGGAAGTCCTTTGCCCTGGAGTTTACCAGCAAGTATGCGAAGAAGGTCCCGCCGCGTTTTCTCTCCGCCGCTCTCATCCAGCGCTTCAATCACGATCAAGATAGGCCCTACACTTGACGCAGATAACTTCTTTAGCGGGTCCATCACAAGCTTCTCCCACTGCTGAAAAATATCCGTCGAATTTTTGAGTGAAATGTTATTTTTGACCGCATCCGCCAACGCTCGTCTTATCTCCGGATCACAATCAGCCAGGTCACGAGCGATGGAGGAGAAAACATTTTCGTGGCGCTTCACTTGGGCCCTGTCGAAGCAGAAACACGACCCGAGCCTTCCCCTGTCTTTGAACCTCTTGGCAATCGTATGAGCTATAGCTGATTTTCCCTTGCCTGCAGGGCCAGATAGCCACAACACACGTTGAGCAGCATCGTCGCTGCTCTCGATCCATTCCGTAATCTGGGAGAGAATGTCGGTGCGCGTTCCTGGTAGGCACTGTTTCCTAGTATCCAGCCCTGCATCCTTTGCGTAGGCAATATCGCTGAGATCCATTGTCTCGCCTGCAGGGGTGTGAGTAGGTGTCAAAATTGGAAGCACGTCCGAATACTCACCCGCACATTGGACGAAGATGGCTACGTCCAGAAGAGCTCGATTTCGAAATTTCTGCATAAGCCCATCCAAAGCGTTACTGTACTGTTGAATCATGGCCTCAGTTTCCGAGACCAAGTGTTTCCCTAGTCTTTTCCCTATAATACAGGTAGAAGATTGAGAATGTGCGAAGCACGACAGATCCCGACTCACAATAGCTCGTGATCTCTGCGTAATCCCTGATGAAGTGGGCGCACTCTCGAGTCTGATGTGCGATCTGTCCAACAATGTCGCGCATCGAATCAATCTGGCCAAAAGTGTCGTCCAGGGCCATGAAGGTGTATACTTCACTTAGTTTCTTCAGAAGGTCAAGTACCGATTGGTCGCGCTCCGTTTGAGCGAGAATAATCTACATGATGTCACAACTTCTGAGCAGGAGACAGAACGCCGGCGCAACGGAACGTACTTTGGATGCAGCAGAAAGTACGCCCAGCGCCATCTTTGCATATGGATGTACCTAAACCTTGATTAGTTCACTACCAACTAAAGAGAGCGGCCCATACATTCGCGATCTTCTCAATGACAGTGTCGAAAATTATGAGGGGTTGGAGGTATGTGGTCTGGAAGTTGTCTGTGGCAGCAAGACCTGCTGGGGCATTGTTGGTGGCGGACGTCACCGATATCGCAGGTCCCCCGAGTAGATTCATGTGTTCTGCGGCCTCATGGGCATCCCGAAGTTCAGCGCTGGCCGATTTGGGACCAAAAGTTTCCTCCGCACCAGGAGGGGTGATGAGAACCTGCGCGACCACCGGAATTTAGAGACGACAGCTAGATAATTTGACGCAAGTACCTTCGAAGCACGTTCTTCGGATAGGCCTTGGTCGACGCAGCCACTGGGACCACCAGATGTGGTGGGACGGTTGTCGTCGGCGGAAGGATTCCAATGCGATACGTCCTGGGCGCTTCTGAGAAAAACTGAAGGATAACGAGTTCGAGCACCTACCTCGATATTCTCATTCGGTGCACTTTGAAGGTCGATGTTCTGAACCACAGGAATGGGCTTGCTGGAACGCTTCAAGCGCTTCTACACAATGTCAGCCATCTTCAGAATGAGGACTACTCAGCAGTTTACTCACAGAAATTTTCTTAGTGATGCGTTTTGTAAATGTCTGCATGGCTTGTTGGACTCCTCTACAGGGTTGGTTCTGGACGAAGAACGCATCAGAGGCAGCGATAGATTGTATTAGCGCTCATCCGCAATGAATGAGATCATGTAGCCGCCGTGACATACCGAGTTTTCACCAGCAGTTGCTTCGCAGGCTTCTAGAGGAGGACCTGGCTTATGGTCTTCGCTTATCACGAGTGGGTGATTAGTGTCAGCGAAGTGGGGTACAGCAAGTAGTGTGGGAGAAGGGAGTACAGATCATATGGCACGAGCCGCATTAACAGCCTTGACAGCAAGGGTCGAAGCATAGCCAACACGATTCTTGAAGCGCTAATCATAAGTACGGGTCACGGGACCGCTGCAGGAACAGCCTGACGAGGGAATGATCTAGACAACCTTAGCATAAAAATGATGGGTGTCGGTTGAAATTAATTGATTCACTATGCCAGATGACTAGCATGCCACGCAAGGTAAGTACATGCAATATTATGTGTCGGTCCACGTTCAGAACGTGTTCAAGTTGTAGTAGGAACAACATATTGTTGCAGATTATGCGTTTAAATCAAGTCCTGCCGCCTGCGACAAATCGTCCTGGTGAGTCATGTTCCTTGAATGCGGACTTGAACATGTGTACATACCTCCCACCCTTATAATATCTGAGCTTGCAGATTATCATGACTGAATAGTGCAGTCACTGCAGTGTCTGTGCTCGCGGTTCGAATTCGTCCGCATTGACGCTGTGACATGTGACGCCGCTTCGGCACCGTCACATCCAATAAGGTTAAGTTTTCCCCAACAGCCCCGGTATTGTCAACGTTAACCCAGACTTACAGGCCTATGCCGCGTTCGCGTCAAGCCCCACCTACGCGTCAGCACTTCACCTATATAGCATAGGTATATTCTCAATCTATCCGTCCATAAATAACTTGATACTTTTCCTGCCTCCAAAGAAAGGCCATATTCTCCTGGTTGGCTCCGGCCCAGGATATCCTTCCCTTCTCACCATTGCAACTCATAATGCGCTTACGAAGCACACAGACCTTGTTCTCTTGGACAAGTTTGTTCCCGCTGCTGTACTTGCACTCAAACTTCAAACTGTCGAAGTGTGCATTGCACGCAAGTTCACCAGCAATGCCGAAGGTGCACAATCAGAGATGGTGGATGCAGCCGTCGAAGCTACTCGATGCCGCCTCACCGTTGTCGGGGTACGTTCAGTCCTATATTCCCTTTACATTCCAATAATTATGTCGTCGCACAGCTAAATCAAGGAAACCCAGTCGTCTACGGCCGTGCAGGGGAAGGCGTCCTCGTCTTCCCAACACATGGATCCGAATCGCTTGTTGTCCCAGCCGTCTCATCTGCACACTGAACGCCTGTTTTCGCACGTATCTCAGTCACGCAGCGCAGCGTTGCAGAAAGTGTCGTTGTGTGTACTGGCGTTGGGAGACAGGGCAAGGAGGTCAAGCTTCCTCGCTAGGCAACCCATGTGGACTGTGCTTATCCTCATGGGTGTTGCCCATACCTGCGGAACATGCCTATATGCAATGCTAGTACTGGTAGTGCTAATAGGGACAGATATCGAGGATCTGATGAAGTGCTTAGTGGGGCACGAGACTTGGCTCGTATGATATAAATAAGTCGGTTGATATTTTCTGCTTCATGCTTATTTTCATTGCGCACTGGGCCAAGTGCACATTCCACCATGTCATGATCTTCCTGGCGCTCATTGTCGTGTTCGTGTGGTATAATGCTGCTTTGGGCGTTCCTGTAGCTTGTGGGATCATATCCAGGTCCGTGTATGTTGGAGCGGCTTCCGAGTTGACTCACAGGCACGTCCCGTTGGGCTCAGATGGCCGGCAGAGCTTGTACCTGTTGGCGAAGGGCACGCCATTTGAGAGGCAAGTTTGTGAAAGTAGAGCCGAGGAGAGTTAAGAGAAGACCGATGTCAGAGGTGCTTATCCAAAGAGAGTCTTTGATAATGTAGTTGATTGAAGCCCCAGCAGAGTCCGGGTCATCAGATGATGGCACAGCGGGGAAACTGACATTTACCAGGAATTACATTCGAAAGGTAATCTAGATCTGCTTTTGATTGAAACCTTGCAAATGTTGAAACCTCCGACATCGGTGCTGTGATCAGCTATCTTTATGTAAGTTCTTCCCCGTGACGCACCTAATGTTGTCCATTGAATATCAAAACAGTGCAGGCATTCACGCGCACACCGCCCGTAGTACCAGGACATTTGACTCAGTTAATGGACATTTTCACTAAAAACGGAGCCAGAAATACCCGGGCGCAATCCTTGTGACAAGATCCAAGTGGTTTATACCATCATACAGTATGCGTCAAGTGCTATTTCTCTTCCTTTAAATACCTCCACTGCTACTGTATGTCTCTCCACCTCCTTTACTGAGCCTCTAACACCTTCACTCGAAGCCACAGCTACCAACATCCAATCAGATATATCATGCCGCCCTTCCCCAGTACCCATCACTGCGCATGTGGCACGTCGACGAAGCGATCCGCAAAGCTTGGTTACTGCCCCAAATGTTCGGAAGTTTGCGAGGGGCAAGGGTCGGCTACGACAAAGGGGAGGTGGTACAGGTTATTACCCACAAAAAATGGGTGAAATACCAGACCGAGTCGTGTTCTGCTTGCGAGAACGTCAGTGAGGCCATTGGGAAGAAAGATTAAGGAGAATGTGGTATGTCCAAACCCAAACCAATCATCACTATCATCGATACTGACCTTCTTACAGGACGTACAAATTTTTTTTTGAAGCTATGGAACTTTGAAGGAGTGGATGTCAGAAGATGGTTATCGGTGACTCTCGATCGCAAGGCTGGGTGTAGATTCGGGATTCGGGATTTATGTATGAAATATGGCGTGGTTCGATGTTGAATGTGTGCTGCTTGTTGAGTGCTGGCAAAGAATATTCTCTTGACAATTCTGCAGTTAGAAATTCTTAGAATGTCTATGGAGTCATCCTGATGGACAACGTCAGTCATTGACGAACGGCGAATCAGTGGCTTGGGACAACGTACACGACTGGTGGAAATCTGTTCTGGAACTTCAATTTTTATGCAGCAATCATAGGACTCGGGAAGATCGATCCGAAAAGTGCTGAATCTTTCTTCCAATTGGGAGGCTCGTAGCTTTGTACTATCTTTATGGAAGAGAAGCTCCGAACTCCTCGCGCCTCCAATTATCCCAGTTTCACATTGCTAGTAAGTGGAAAGACGCTCACTGGTTCCGAAATCTAACATAGGGCAGCCCGGCATCAATGTTGGCTCGAATACATCGGGAAAGATGAGCCCGCTGCAACTTCATCTGGCAGTGAAGACACTCGACGACTCTCCGAGTCAGGCCGTGAGAAACGTGAAGTCCTTGACTTTCCTTGCGACGCGAGATCGAAACACTTTATTGGTACAAACTCGATGGTAATGTCATACTTGCCAGTGGATGTTGCGATGCAGCTATGCTAATAGGGACAGAAATCGAGGATTTGATGAAGTGCTTAGTGGGCACGAGACTTGGCTCCTCGGATACTAGTATACGTAATTATACTTAGTAGTCGGTTGATATTTCCTGTTTCATCCTGTTTGCATATATGTGCTTCAAGCTCCCTCGTATACATTCTCCCCACCCCCACATCTGTGTGCCGTTTATGTCCATGGCATGAGATCAATTTATGCATATCATTATGCATATGAAATACCCATATCGCCAGAGGGTTTCACCATTGTTAGCCTGCAAACTCAACGTGCATGCCTTCCACCGAGTCCTAGGATTGCTGTATACACAATTCTTCCAGCGCAGATCCCCGCCAGTCGTGTATGTTGTCCCAAGTTGAGTAAGGCGTTATATATGGGGTAGAGCTCAAGTCCACTGATTCGCCATGTATCAATGACCGACATTTTCCATCAGAGCGAGTCAATAGATTCAGCCCGCGTCTGTAAGCTATGATCCCACAAAATTTTACAAGAAAATATTCTTAGCCAGCACTCGGCGAGCAGCACACATTCAGCATCGGACCACGCATATTTCACACACAAATCACGGATCTACACCCAGCCGTACGATCAAGAGTCACCGGGAACCATCTTTCAACGTCTTCTCCTTCAAAATTCCATACTTTCAAAACATATATTCTGTACGTCCTGTAGGAAGGTGAGTATCGACGATAGTGATGTTTGGTTTGGACGTACCCAATTCTCCTTACTGTTTCTTCTCAATGGCATTCCTGACAGCCTTGCAAGCGTCACACGACTCATTTTTCCTCTTCGAAAATTTCTTGTGTTTAATAACCTGCACCTTGCCCCCCTTTGTCGTAGCCGACCCTTGTCCCTCGCAAACTTCGGAACAAGTTGTGCAGTAACCAGTCCTTGCAATTTTCTTCGTCGAATTGCCGCATGCGCAGTGATGGTTATTGGGGAGGTAAGGCATGATATATGTGATTGGATATTGGTAGTTGTGACTTCGAGTGAAGGTGTTACAGGCTCAGTAAAGCGAAGGTGGAGGGACGTACTACTAGTAGCAGTTGGGGGGGTATTTGAAGGAAAGCGACATTATTTTAATAGTAGTTTTGCGATTGTGCGAGTCAAAAGTATGGTCGCATCGCGGCCCATGGCTCCACCCTAGGATCATAAAATATGCCAAGTTATTTGCAGGATACGATAAGTATGCATACCGGGAAACCCACGACCACGTACGATGGGTATAATTTAGTCCGAATTAACACCAAAATGCTTGGCAATTCAAGGCTTAATTGCCGGGCTCGAGTTGGCCGCTTGAATTTATGTTCCCGTCAGACGGATCCAACGCAGTATCCACGGAAGGCTATCCTGACATCTTTATTTCACTTCAGTGGGGAGACATCACGCTCAAATATGCTGAGGAAATTGTGGAGGTACCGTTCACGAAAGTTCTAAATGTTTTGGGGATGTTGTAGCTGGCAGAAACTCTGGAGTACTAATGCCCAATGTGGATAACCTTCAAACGTGGCGCTCAACTAGTTTCGACAAAAATCAGGCATAGGTATGCACTGCTTACTTGTATTTGCACACCGCAAGTGCACGCTGATTATCGGCTGGTACGCCGCCACTTCAATAGCCTTTTCCCACTGGCAGCGTCCTGACCAAAGCAGACGATGTGATTTCTCACATTTCTAAACATGCAACTCGGGCTGCAGCCTATCACGACCGCAAGACTTGAAATGCAGCCCGAGTGGGGTACGATGCAATATTAAGATAACCACCAGTTCGTTGGTTCCCCCCCCCCCCCCACCTCGGATCTTAGGTGCCCGATGAGCGGACTTTTAGTAACAGCTATTTTGCGGATGCATCAGTCAGCATCCAACCAGGTTCTCGAATCATTGACACGATCGTACAGCATATTTTGAGCTATATTAATATTGCTGCTCCTTTAAAAAACCCTTAGTACTGTACGTTTTGCCAACCGCTTCACTGAGCCATTTTCTGCCCAAGTGTACGTCCAACTGCTTATGTGGTAAGTACCATACTGCACCCATTGTGAAATATGCATGAAACTCTAAAGGAGAAGATGCTGGAGGATAGTTTTCGGACTCGATCTAGGCATGGATTGTGTGTACACAGGATCTGGAATCATTCCAGAATGAACGTGTGTGTGGCTTGGCAAGCGCTGGCTTAGAATATTCTCCTGACAGTTCCTCGGGCGGTGTACAACATCGATTCACATACAACTTAGTCTTTCCTTATACACAGCCCAATAAAGGAAGGTAGGAGTCCTCACCTGAGTCCAAGTTCCTTTCGGCCTGCATATGAATAACCGACATGAGTCCTGCAATGCTCGAGCTTGAGATTGATACTCACATTCGTTCTTTACATATTCATCTGTTTCCCATGTCGTCGGGAAACAGTACGGCATAGTCTATGTGTTCCATGGTTGTTATTACTCTCATATGCTCGTGACAACGTCAAAGCAGAAATAGTACATTTGCAGTTCTAGTATGGTTGAGCTCAAGAAGTATTCAGATCGAGAAAGAGTTACGGGGTATGCATCAGATTTGTAGTTCGTCTGTTTCAGGAAAACCAATCCCGGGGTGGGTCTTGGCCCACTCAAGGCGTTCATCCACCCAGATATCTTGATCATCAGAAGCCCAAACGTTTACCTGGAAGCTCAACATGTCTGCCAGCAGACGGAAAGGACGACCCATGTCATACGCCTCTCTCCACTCCGGGTATCGGGCGGACCTTTCTATTGCTGAAAGAAAAGCAGCACGCAAAACTTTTCTTTCTTCACTGGTTCCGCCTTCGTAACTGGACTCTGGGTCATTCACATCTTGTAGCCATCGTGGGATCACCGCGCACTCCCATAGTGGCGCGATGGTGGCTGCTTCAAAGTCGATAAACCCAGTGACTCGACCTGAATCGGTATCGATCTATCACATTTGCGTTTATAATGGGCACCAAAAGGGCATGCATAGACATACCATGACATTTGATAAACGGAAGTCATCAAACTTTAAGGAGAATGGTCTTTGCGGAGTAGTGATATTGGGAGGTATCAACGCATCACCGGGGTAGACAGAGCACAGCTCAATAGCCTTTCTCATAACACGCTCCCCAAGTTCAAGTCGGCTCTCTGCCAACTGAGTAGGGTCGCATTCGTGAAGTTCAGAGAGAACGACCGAACGGTTATTGGAGATAAAATCAAGTTCTGCCCGTAGATTGCTGGAAAGAAATTCAGTTACGGTGGAGAATGGACCTCTGTTTGGATCGACGACTTGTGAAACGGGCGCGTCGGGAATCCGGACAAGGCCGTCGAGAGCACGGTAGAACGGTGTACTGACTATCGGTCCAACAACGAAGTGAGGTGAAAGAGGGCTCAAGTAAAGAGATCCTGCGCTCTCAAACCGAAGAGAGCATATCTCCAAACAATATTGTGCAACCTGCGTCACTACGGTCTTCTTGACCTCCTCGGAGAGATCCCCCCAGTTCTGGCTAGCAGGGGTCCCTTTAACCTTAGGTACGCGGTGTATGAGTGAAAGATCCTAGAACGCGACACGTAAGTTTTTGCAAACTCGCCTTATCCAAGATCATGTATTCCGCCCCAACAGGATTCGACGCGTCAGAGTTCCACGCATAGATTCGCGGAACAGGTACATTTGTGAACGCAGCGATCATCTTGCACGTCGCGACCTTTCCAAAGAACGTAGAGTCTTCAATACCAACACACATGATACTTAATGTATATTTGTAGCTACCTCCGACTCAAGTTTGTCCTTTGGAAATGCAGGAGAGGCCACTCGAACCACAGCATCAAGTGGGGCACCGTCCAATCGCAAGATATCATATACCTGTATAGATAATCAAACAGTGATCTGTAGCATGTAATGCCAGACGGACCTTGTGATAACCTCCTTCAGCTAGCTTCTCCAGCTTGCAGCTTGTCAAGAAATAACGATCGACAACTGATTGCAGTTCAGCAAGGCTAAATGAATCCGGTTCGCCCTCCCCATCGTATGAGAACGTGGACATTCGATCATGATCGACATCGCGCATGCTGCAAGAAAGTAGGAGGAGGGCCGTGATCAGTGGCGTACTAGTTTATGTCAGAAGGTGTGGGAAACGAGTACGGAGAAGAATAACATGAACCAACATGAACCCCGTTGATCACGCGCACGGGCTATTTCATATTTGTCTGACCCAGGCGTCAATGCCGCATCATGATTACTGGCTCCAGCCCTTCACGCGCATGCGTGGCCTCCGGCAATGGTCTGCAGCTAGCTGTGCCTTAGCTGCGCTCCGCTTACTTGAAGGTAACCTGCGTCCACAGTACTGATCCCGTACACCCCACAACAATTTTGGAGCGGTATCAGGTCCCATGTCACCGAAGTAGGACTGTCATGCACTCAGTAAGCCTTGCCTCACATAGACAAGGCTGTGTGATGTGCTGACCACTCAGTAATGCCATGCCATTTTTGCGCTGACTCTGGCCTGTTATTAAAGTTGTTTGAATGGTTGTTCTTTGAATCTATTGCAAGCTTTTCATCGTCATGAAGAGATCATTTCTCAGCTTTTTGGTCGATCAGTGGTCGGTGGTGCCCCCAGTGGAGACGACTGATCTATCTGGGAAAACAGTTCTTGTCGTCGGCGCCAATGTAGGCCTTGGACTCGAGGCATCCAAACACTTTGCCCGTATGCAACCAGCGCGGTTGATAATCGCCTGTCGTAGCGAGGCCAAGGGAAAGGCCGCTTTGACTGGTATGTATAGCCGTTTAGAGTGAATCTGACACAAGATGATTGACGTCTTTTTCTGAAGAAATCAAACAGGAGACCGGATACAATGGATGCGAACTCTGGATAATCGACCTTGCCAACTTTGCGTCAGTGACTGCATTCGCTGACAAATTCGAGAAGGAGGGCGGCGATTTGCATATCCTGGTAATGAACGCAGGGATTTTGCAGCCCGTTTACCAATCCACCACCGATGGCTGGGAATCCACGTTGGTCCATCTCATTTCCCTACGCGTGGTCATTGCTCATATTTGCCCTTCAGGCTACAAGTCAATCATATTGCAACGTCACTGCTTTCGTTGCTCCTCATTCCGCGACTAGTTGCTGCGGGGAGAAATTCGTCAACACCTTCCCGGTTGGTACTTGTATCCAGCGGTGTCCACCACTACGTTAAACCCACGAAAGAGGTCAAGACTTCCTCGAAACCACTTGAAATGCTGAGCAGCGCAGAGTGGTGTATCCCCGAGTAAGTAGATAAATCGAACTTCATACAACTTTCCTTTACTAGATGTCTCTTAGGCACATGCATTCCCGATTCTTCGAGTCAAAGCGTACGTGCCTCCCATCTTCGTTGCCTATTTCAACCTGACACACTCACCCAGTGTTTAACCTCTTCTTCATTCGTGCCTTGACGGACAGGCTGCAATCCATCACACCACTCAGCGCCGTAGCCGTGGCCCCAGGATACTCCTATTCACAACTACGGCGCTTCTGGTACGAGAAACCGACTTTTTCATTTGTCAGAATCGGACTCGCTATCCAGGAGCGTCTCCTGGCGTGGACGTCCGAACAAGGCAGCCGTCAACTCGTATTTGGTGCGGTGGGTGGACGGGACAATGAAGAGAATATGAAAGGCGGGTACGTAAGCGTTAGTCGCCTCGTAGAGGTCGCGGATTTCGTGCTCAGCGACGAGGGTCATAAAATGCAGGATGCTGTTTGGGTAGGAGTTTAAGTCTGTTGATCCGCCGTTCATCAAGGACTGACGTTTTCTATCAGAACGAGACGATAGACATTCTGAGCAGTGTTTCTGACAAGATTGCTCCCATAGTCCAGGATTATCTGGTAGTACCTGACTCGTCCACAAACTGACATGTACATGTGACACATTATCTACTGACGTAGCTTGATAGAACAATGTGCGCCTTTGGTTATCTTGTTCTCTATGTTTACGTTGCCTACTCTTATGATCTCGACTCCTCATCCTACCTACTGAGTCTTCTTTTATTTTTTTTGGCCAGCGCCGTATTTCTGTTGTCATGATTTCATCTACTTATCCCTCCGAGGAGGTTGGTTGTGAAACGATGTTGACAGTTGTACGCCACCTGTAGAACTGTCAAGAGGATATTCTTAGCCAGCACTGGGCGAGCAACACACGCATTCAGCATAAAATCACGCCGTATTTCATACACAATTGCAAATCCAAAATCCTGTGTTTACACCCAGCCTCGTGATAGAGTCACCGGGAACCATCCTCCAACATCCTATCCTTCATGCTACTTTCAGAAAAACATTCTGTACATCCTGTAGGAAGGTAGGTGTAATCAATAATAACGATATTTGGTTTGGACGTACCAATTTCTCTTTAATTTTTCTTCTCAATGGCCTCCCTGGCGGCCTCGCAAGCGGAACATGACTCCGTCTGGTATTTCACCCATTTCTTGTGGGTGATAGCCTGTACCTTGCCCCCCTTCGTCGTAGCCGACCCTTGTCCCTCGCAAACCTCGGAACATTTGGGGCAGTAACCAAGCTTTGCGGCTCGCTTCGTCGACTTGCCACATGAGCAGTGATGGGTACTGGGGAAGGGCGGCATGATATATGGGATTAGACGTTGGTAGCTACGATGTGACTTCGAGTGAAGGTGTTATAGAAATGATGGCTCAGTATAGAGGTGGAGAAACGTACAGTACTAGCAGTGACGGTATTTAAGGGAACAGTAATATTATTATAATAAAACTTGATACACACCGCATGATCATATGAACGACTCGGATCTTGCCAGAACTTGGTCCAAGTTGCGCCCGGAACAGTTGTTTAATCCCGGTCATCCAGGGGGACCAAAGAACTTGTGATCATCTTGGAATAGAATTGGAATCCATCCAGGCTAATGTCATTTCAAGCCAGTAGAGGTTCCTTTATCTCCCATGCAGGTCTGATAATCACAAAAAAGTTAGGCTGCAGCTCAAAGTTACAACTCACCTTGTATAAGCGCCGCCATTCGGTACTAGCCTGAGATTCTAGAACGTAGTGACTGGCAGTGGCAATACCAGCGAGATGTCGCGGCTAGGCCGCGCTGAGTCATCCCTTGTGATTTTTTGAAACTCAGCTAGGAGAGTCCGCCCTCACGGCATTCACAACGAAAAGACTTCTAGACTCTACCTCAACAAATATTTTCCCCTTGCGCTTAATGTTATCACCTAGCGGTATATACCAGCCTCGACATATCCCCTCCCCGTATATGTGATCTCTTATACCTTCAGCTTTCGTCCCTTCGTTGACGGCTCGATACCTCGCACTGTTTTTCATCATCACTTTATCCCCGCGATCCTCGCCACGTGCATGCACATCCATCTCTCGCTGCCATATGGACCAGCACATGGACAGCTCTGACATCTTCGTGTGGATGTCTCTGTCCGACGTGTCACCTGTTGACCGTACAATGTAACATCTTGTCGCATCGCTTATGCAGTGTCGTTCATGGAGTGAAGTTTGGACTGCAAGATGACTGGTTGGTAATTCGTTTGCAAAGCAGGACGGAACCTTCATAGGTTCAACTAACGTGCCGCAACATTCCTGGCTCCATGGTAAGTGCAATTTGGCTGGCACTCTGTTCGGCCTTGAGCGCCTCCCACAAATTTCAAATTTAAAGTTCAACTTTCACTTCCGTATTGACTTCGTACACGTCTGTTTGATCTCAACTGCTTGCTTGAAGTAAACTGACCTTAACTATATGTAGTCTGACCGCCAACAGCCAAACAATCAATGTGCTTCTGACGGAACAGAGTATGGCTAATGTCGCGGTGAAACTACTGTTTGTGGCACCGGGGGTGTAGTCAAGTTGCGCCCTCATCAGCCCTATCCGTAGTACGGACAGGGCTGATCACACCTGAGACTAATGATATACCGGGCCTGACTTGGCCTGAAAGCCTGGATCCACGCTGTTTCGCAGCACTTGCTTGAAATCAGAACATCCAGGGGTCATCGCTGTTGGCACCAGGGTTAAACCTTAAGCAGCTGAGCGGTAATGAAAATTCTCCTTTGATATTATGTCTATCCAGGCGATTGTGGGGCTTTCTCTACATGTTGCACATTGAGAATTTGACGGCGTTATAGTCCAGTCCATTATAAGCAAGTTGGCTTTCTTGCTTTGAATTTTTCCAGTTTTCCAGCTTCATCATAGGTGTGTATGATTTTCCTCGCCGTCAACTGATTTATCAAGCGTTTGATCCTCGTCGGCAGAGCTTCTCGCCATTCTTCTTACAAGCAACAGCAAAGTCCCTTGCTCGTCGTTAGGTGGTGGGTTGAAATCACCTCCCGTGGCTGTTAGAGATCTTCTGATTCAGTTATTTTGCAGCACGAATACGATGAAATCTTTCTCCTTGGTTGCCCTCTCGTTCGCCACGCTCCTGACGGTAGCTACAGCCACAAGCTGTTACTGGAGTGGGACTGCCCCATTCTGTGCTGGAAAGTGCGATAGTCCTACTTTGGATTGTAGAACGAGCTATTGTGGTGATGGAGCATGTTGTATAACTGGGTACAAGAAATATTGTTGCTACCCCTCCTGCTTCTAGGCGCATTAACACAGAAAGACGCGCAACAAATTGATGTTAATATTTCTGGGTGATTGTATGCTATGATTTGAACGACGCCATTGAATATTGAATGTCTGCTCCAACATCAGGAAATTTCATGTCATTCGAGTCTGTGTTTCGTGAACCGTCGTTCGATCACGCGAGAGTCTCATCGTTCACCTGTCTCCATATCATCGTCTTCGAAAGTTATAATGTACTTCATCGACCAAAACTAGGCGCCTGCGTCGGCATTGCTGGCTCCGTTTTCACCGGAAAGGTCCACTGAGTCCAATGCCCTGGTCCAGGCGGCGTTGAATATCAAAAATCGCAATGATTTGGACTCCCAAAAATTATTCCACAGCTTCGATATTCAACAGACGTCAAGTGTGTGGGGAAGAACTTGAAGATGGCTGATTGTCGTACACTTGTATTGTGCAATCAATCAAACTACATTCTGACACTTTGGATAAGCACTCTAACATCAGTCCTCGCTCGGTACTCCTTCACAACCTCCAATAAGAAGCGTTTGGTACACAAACACCGTGCCCTTCGTCAACAGGTTCAGACATACATGAACCTGGAGATGGGCCCACAAGCCACCGGAACGCCCACAGCAGCATTGACCACGCGAGCACGACGACGAACGCCAGGAAGATTACGGCATGATGAAATGCGCACTCGGCCCAGTACGCAAAATGGCGAATACCTTGTGAGGACTCGAGATAGCCTGGGCGAAACACCACAGCCTCGAGCTTCTGAGGGAACAGAAGAAGCGCCCCGCCTACTGCTGCGCACCAGGGAACAAACAGCACCACGCGGAGAATACCAATGAGAATATGCTGTGAGGATTCACACTCTTCGGGGAAGGAGTCGGCAAGAGGAACTTGCGTAGCCACAGGTGGCGACAAAGGCGTAGCGGCCTGTAGTTCCTCGACGAGAGGGAGACTGAAATTAGGGCTGCGCAGTCTACGGGATGGTTTATTGATATTTGAGGACGGCGGCCCCGAGATGGATGCTATCCTTCTTTCCGCCCTATGCCCAACAGTCTTGGCCTGAGGACGTCAGCGGGGTTTGATAACCTGAAACTGAACTCACCTTTTGCAGAGGCAGATCATGCACGGAGAAATATCGGTTTGGAAGGCTGTAGAACTGCCCATGTGCATGTGACTTCCGTTAGTCACCCTAACACTACTGCCGATACACTGACCTGTTCTGGTCTCATTTTAACCGAAATCCTCCTTCCAAACCTTTCTCGCAATGGACTAGCGATGAAGACCGGCTCCTCCTCGTCCGACTTCTGAAACAACCAGTAAATTCAACACTACACTCAAAGACGAGACCGACTCACCCTTTTCTTGAAGACCGTAAAAGCCCTGCTCACAGTCTTCACAATGGAAGACAACGTGCGCTGACGGTGATGGAGTGCAGTTGCGGCCTTCTTCACATTGAAGCTGCCTCGCAAGACCGGACGCAGATTCGTGTCGCTCTCACTGGTAGAAGTATGCCGCACGTCAAGTTTGAATATCTTATTCTCGTCATCTTCAGGAGTAGTCTGTCCTAACGAAGACGCGTAGGAATATCGGTCAAAATCCGATGAGTTTGAACTTTTATCTGGAGACACGCTGCTGAAGGATGAGCCGCGCTGGAAGGATGTCAGTTTTGACGCCCAAAGTCACACAAGACAGCTTACTAGCACAATCGATGGTGAAGCAGTGGGTTTCGCGTTCGACATGGTTTCGTGGAAGAAATAGGCGGGCTATATAATTTTGAACGCACCTGAAACCGTCATCGTGAAACATCTGAAAGCAGTGTCTTCGGATGAAGGCCTCAGATGAAACTTGTAGGCGTTGCTGCATGCGCCACTTAGATTGTGAGTTGATGGGGGATTATCGACACCACACATACCTTTAAAATTTTTCCCCTTTGGATAAAACAGTGAGGCAAGACCGCATGGATCCTTAAATACCACTGTTCCTCAAGCCAGGAGAGGAGACGTTAGCCTGAGCGTGAGGTGAAGTCGCTCGAGGGGATCATCGCCTCGATTATAAATAAACTACATCGTCATAGACGCCACGATAAACCGTCTGCCCGTTCAACCGCCAGCTGATCCCTCGATTGCTGGAAATCGGGATGGCGACTTTCAAGTCTCCGAAGGAATGTTGCAAGAAAACATGGATGTGGTTGTCGACATCTGCGCCGTCTCCTGACAGTTCCTCGGGCGGTGTACAACATCGATACATATCGCCTCTTAGTCTCACACTAAGTGGCACCCCGAACCAGGACCCCGGACACCACCCCAGGTCAACACGCCCAACGGCGTCACCAATCGTCTCCCATACATCTAATAAAACCTTAAAAACCCTAAAAAACATAATCTAGATACTAACTTTTACAGAAAATGGTGCTGTCCAAGGCACCTGAGAAGAAAAACCCAAAGGACAACACGAGCCCTCCAGTCACTCGAAACACCAACAACACAAGAGGCTCAATGCTACAGGAAGACATAGAATCACTACCAGGAGCAGTGACCAATGCGGAATTGGCAGAGAAATACTTAGCCAGTGTACTCCTACGTCAGGCAGACGAGCCTCTCACACTGACACACATCACCGGCATTCTATTTCAAATCACGCAAATGGTGAAGCCGATTCCGCTCCCAGTCATCAACGCCATCAGATCGGTGGCATTCATTCTAAAGAAGCAGATGGCATCAGACATCGCCGAAGCCGTTATTCATCACCTCTCTGACTCTGTGACCTCCAGCATAGTCAACAACGTGATAGTGGCTATTTCTCCTCAAGTAGCTACCATCCACTCCGTATCAGAAGAACTACGAGGATCGCTGGCTCAGTCGGAGAAACTTCGCAGCATGATAGAGAGAGAATGAGATGAGAAGGAGGAGAGTCTTCAAACGATGGCAGGCAGAATCGAAGATGCGGTAGATATGTTATACGAATCCATTGAGGATTGCAACAATTCGTGCAAGACACTCACCCCCTCTCTGGAAACCACGCAAGCTCACATCAACAACCTCTCAACGCAAATTCTTCAAAGACCAAACATGGGGCCACCTCCCATAACCCCATCGCAACCCCACCCCACATACAGCTCAGTAGCAGCCACTCACCTCCCTCCCACCATCGATCAGGCAGTGGCACGGGCCTCGCTAAGAGCCAAGCAAATTCTGCTAGACCCAATGCCAGGACACACACTCTTTCCCCCAGATACCACAAACTCCTCCATCGCCAAGAAAATTTCCGACATCCTCCTCATCATATGCAATGAGAACACTCCCAAAGGCACCGTGCGCGCAATCCAACGATTATGGAACGGAGGCGTAATAGTGGAACTGGACAGCGAAGCGTTAGCAGGTTGGCTACGTGGTCCCACAGGCCGACTCGCCCTGGAATCACAGTTCGAGGAATCAGCAAGCATCCGTGACAGAACCTACGCGATCGTCATCCAATTCCTACCCATCACTTATGAAATAGACCAAGAGGACTTTCCCAGACTTATTGAGAACGAAAACAACCTCCCTCCCAACTCCATTGCCTCCCTCAGATGGATCAAGCCCCCCCAAAGACGTTCACGAGAACAACGTACCACATTCGCGCTCCTTCAACTACGAGATGCAGACATCGCCAACGCCACACTCAAGGAAGGACTGTGCATCGACGCCCATCGATACCCCGTCAACAAGGATAAGAAGGAGCCAATGAGATGCGCTAAATGCCAGAAATTCGGACACATAGCTCGCAACTGCTCCGCCCCCCATGACACGTGCGGCACATGCAGTGGACGGCACTGGACAGCACAATGCAATGCATTCCGCACTGAATGCTGCATCAACTGCAAGAGCCAAACCCACACCAGCTGGAGCCGCAAATGCCCGGAGTTCATCCGCCGATGCTCAACTCTGGACGAAATGTACCCAGAGAACAAAATGCCATTCTTCCCCACAGATAACTCGTGGACTCACACAACACACCCTCCCAGACCTCAAACCCGCGCCCCATCTGCTAGCCTCTCTCCTCGCTCTAACAATGCAAACCCCAACACCCCAACCCCGCACACCAAACAATCCACCCTCAAATTCCCACCTGCCTTGCAACCATCCAAATCAGCTCTCTCACTGGCCACCCCTACAAACCCAACACAGCAAAACCCCGCCTCATCGACATCTAACGACACCCCAACACCCGCAACACCCTTAACTTCCAATATCCCGCCAAACTCCCCTTCATTACTAACCCCTTCTCTCCCCAGCGCAATTCCCCAATCCCCATCGACCAATGCCTGAACAACCGACACCCACCAACGCAAGTCTCAAAATCTGGCAGCAGAACCTCGACACCTCACTAGTAGCCCAAGAGTCACTAATGAATAGCCCTGACATCTCGTCATATGATCTACTAATCATCCAGGAACCACACATAAACTTTCTCCGCAATACGCGCGCAAGCCATCGCTGGCACGCCTTATACCCCACTAACCATTACTCCCACCCCCAGGAACGCTCACGAGCCATTACGTTCGTCAACACCGACCTCGACACCAACACATGGCGCCAAATACCATTCCCGTCCTCAGATATTGTAGTCCTACAACTATCGAGCGAATACGGCACCTGCTCGATCGTCAATGTTTACAACGACTGCACCCATCAAGACACTCTAACAGCATTGGACACCTTCCTCAATCAGAACATCGTCAACCTGCGTCCCACAGCAGAAGACCACATGCTCTGGCTCGGCGACTTCAACAGGCATCATCCAATGTGGGAGGACCTACGCAACCGGCATCTCTTTAATTATACCACTTGTCGTCCGCTCATAGACTTAATTGCTGACTTTGGCATGGTGCAGCTACTCCCAGCAGGGACCCCAACCCTTCAAGCCACCTGCTCCGGAAACTGGACGCGCCCAGACAACTCCTTTGGCACAGAAGGTATCTTGGACGCAGTGATCTCCTGCTCGACCAAACCCTCTTGCAGAGGACCCAAGACCGACCACCTACCAATCCTCCTCCATCTCAACCTCGAAGTTCCACGAACGGACACCACCCCACGTCTCAACTGGCGCGACATCGACTGGTCGTTATTCAAAGAAACCCTAGCAACCAATCTAAGCCCCTTCCCACCCACCCCGCTAGGCTCAGAGGAAGAATTCCAGACATCGGCTCGAAGACTCACCCAAGCCATCACCTCGACAATGGAAGCCTGCGTCCCCCATTCCAAACCCTGCCCGCATTCGAAAAGGTGGTGGACCCGCACCCTGTCAGACCTGCGCAAGCAGGTAGGTAAGCTCAGTCGCAAATTGCACCAGAATCGAGGACTTCCGCTGCACCCTTGCCATGAAGAGTACAAAACCCTCAAGAACCACTACGCGGACGAGATCACGAAGACGAAAAAACAACACTGGTCCGAATGGTTAGAGGATATCGAGGGCAATGACTTGTGGACGGCTAACCGGTACATCTCCTCAGCGCCCAGCGATGGCGGTAAATCACGCATCCCAACCATACTAACCAAGCACCCTGACGGTTCGACAACGGAAGCCTCCACTAACGCAGAGAAAAGTATAGTAATAGCAGAAGCCTTTTTCCCTCCTCCTCCCATCGAAGACTCCATCCCCGCTGACTTCATCTACCCAGACCCAGTCTCCCGCCACACCCCAATCACCTCAGATCAAGTCAATCGAGCAATAACCAAGCTAAGCGGTTATAAGGCCCCCGGCCCAGATGGCATCAAGAACATTGTATTCAAAGAGTGTGCAGCCCTACTAACACCCTATCTAGTCTACCTCTTCAACGCGGTCTTCACGTTTCGAACCTACTACGAACCTTGGAAGAGATCCACGACAGTGGTGCTACGCAAACCCGGCAAACCTCACTACAACGTTGCGAAAGCCTATCGCCCCATTGCCCTACTAAACTCCACATGCAAACTTCTCACCACCATTATAGCTGACCAACTAACTTTCCTTCTAGAACATCACCATCTCCTACCCAACACCCATTTCGGAGGCCGCCCAGGGCGATCCACAACCGATTCACTCCACCTACTCGAAGACACCGTCAAGAACGCCTGGAGGGCACACAAGGTAGCATCGGTCCTCTTTTTGGACATCGAAGGCGCATTCCCAAACGCCGTCACCAAAAGACTGATCCACAACATGCGCACTCGACGCTTACCTCGCGAGCTCATCAACTTCACCGAACGCGTGCTCACCGGGCGAAAAACGCAACTACATTTCGACGGCTTCACCTCGAACTGGATTAACATCGATAATGGAATAGGACAGGGTGATCCCCTTTCAATGATACTATATATTATTTATAGCGCTGACCTGGTGGACATTGCGCGCCCCCGGTGTGGGCGAGAATCCATTAAAGAACTAACTCTTGCCTTTGTAGATGATACCGCCCTAGTGGCTATAGGTAAGGACTTTGCAGACACCCACCACACCCTCAAAGATATGCTGGAAAGAAGTGGTGGGGGTTTTGAATGGTCACGAGCTCACAACTCCCGTTTCGAAACTAACAAATTCGCCCTCATCGACTTCTCGATGAACAGGCAACGCGAACGCCCAGATATGAACATCCAAGGGGCTATTATCCGTCCGGTTTTCACTCACCGTTTTTTAGGAGTTATCATTGACCAGGAGCTCCGTTGGAAAGCCCATGTGGACCACGCCCTCGCCAAAGGACTGGCATACGTTCTACAACTCCGACGTTTATCCACCATGTCCAAAGGCATCCCCCTCCGGTTAATGAGACAACTCTACCAGGCCACAGTAGTCCCAAAAATGTTATACGCCGCCGATCTCTGGTTCTCGCCGGCCTTCAACGGCAACTCAGACACCTTCCAACACGGCTCGTTAGGAATAATCAAGAAACTCACCTCCATCCAACGCATAGCTGCCATCGCCATGACCGGGGCAATGAGAAGCACTGCCACCGATATCCTCGAAGTACACGCTAATCTACTCCCTATAGCTCATCTGCTCCAGAGTGCCTGTCACCGTGCCATAGTGCGCCTCGCCGCTCATCCAGACTCCCATCCCCTGTACACCCCAGTTCGAAGAGCAGCTAAACGCTACGTGTCCACCCACCGCTCGTCGTTACACAGGCTCACCCACTCCCTTAGCATCAAACCAGACGAAATCGAAGCCCTCATCCCCGCAAGACGTGCTCCCACCTCCACATGCCCATACACGGTTCACATCGCGAACACGAGAGACGAAGGCATTGTCGAACACCATGATCTGCAGGATCGCATCCAAGTGTATGCTGACGGATCGGGTCACGACGAACACATTGGAGCAGCCGCGATTCTTTTCCGATCGGGAAGAACACCCCGCACACTCCGCTATCATCTAGGATCAAACGACGAGCACACCGTATATGAAGCGGAAATGGTAGGCCTTACTCTAGCTGCTAAACTCATCACCTCCGAGCAGGACATCGAATTCCCAATATCAATATCTGTAGACAACCAAGCGGCAATTGTATCCGGTGAGCGCTTTGATTCGGGCCCAGGAGCATATCTCTCTCTCAAATTCCAGAAGATACTACGAGCAGTCAAGAAAACCAATTGAAACTACGACGTCACGTTAAGATGGGTACCAGGGCACGAAGGCGTACATGGTAACGAGCAGGCAGACAGAGCAGCAAAAGAAGCAGCAGAAGGTCCTCACCGCACTAGTCCCCGTGAGTCCCTCCCCCGATATCTACGCAAGGGCCCGCTACCTTTAAGTATTTCAGCTATGAAACAAGCACACCGGACACAAGTTCAAGCAAGGTGGGCAAGACTATGGCCTACCTCCCCCCGCTATCATCGCCTTCAAGCAATAGAATCCGCCACTATCAACAAATCATTCCTCAAGCTCACAGCCAATTGCTCCAAACGCCTCACCAGCCTCCGCACTCGTCACATTCCGTTGAACAAACACCTCCACCGCCTAACAAAAGTTAATTCCCCCCATTGCCCACATTGCCCGCTCATCGATGAAACTATACTACACTTCTTGTTTGACTGCCCGCAATATCAACGCGAAAGGCACATCCTGGCATGTGCCCTTGGAAGGAAATCCACTTCTCTCCCATACCTCCTAACGGACTCCGAAGCCATCCCCCACCTTGCAAGATTTGTTAACGCTACCCGCCGCCTGAAACCCACGCTAGGTGAAATTCTGCCGCCCTCGTCCTAGACAGTTTGACAGTCCCACCCCACAGTTACCACGACCCGAAACCCCACTAACATAAATCGCCCTAATCACACCATACTCCATAACCCCCTAAACACTTCACCAGCTCGTTAACACGAGATCGACGGCACAGCCCTGAGGCCTCAGTCGATAGGCAACTGAAGTAACCTCTTTGGAATGCACTGCGGATATGCCAACTATACCGCAAATCACAGAAGTAGTCCATCACTTCTCGACTCCTTAGAACTACCTCACATAATCCCATCGCACACCTTACTCGATTCTCTGTTTGGCCTGCGTAAGCAGCCGAGCATGCGTTACCGTATTCATTGTCACATCATACACACGCAAGCACATTATTTAGCCTTCTCATTTTCGACAAACCGTCCATCTAAAACGGCCGGCAGGAACGGCGGATTGGTGGGGGTACGCCCTACACCAATGCATTTGGAGGTTTGGAAATGGGGTACGGAGCAAGGGGCTCCATGGCTTACTAGTACTGTCCTACATAGAGTATCACTCTCAATGGACATAAATTGGAAAAAAAAAAAAAAAAAAAAAAAAAAAAAAAAACATCGATACACATACCTAGTCTATTTTTTATGCAGCCCAATCGAAGAAGCCAGGTACATGACTGCCAGTGAGTCCGAGTTTCTTTCGGCCTGCATATGAATAGCCGACATGAGTCCTGCCATGCTCGAGTTTGAGAACATTGAGAACCCGTTTAATGAATGCTTTTTTTATTCATCTGACCCAGTCGTTACTAATCATGCTTACGAGCTGCACACCGCTCGCGGCCACTGAGTTGGTTGTGACTGTGCCATTATCCTCTGGACAAGCCTCCAATGGAATTGCCACCTTACTAGCTCCAGCCCTTCACGCGCATGCGTGGCCTCCGGCAACGGCCCGGAGCCAGCCATGCCTTAGCTGCGCTTCGCTTTAAGGTAGCCTGCGTCCACAATACTGATCCCGTACACCCCACAACAATTCTGGAGCGGTATCAGGCCCCATGTCACCGAAGTAGGACTATCATGCACTCAGTAAGCCTTGCCTCACATAGACAAGGCTGTGTGATGTGCTGACCACTCAGTGATGCCATGACATTTTTGCGCTGACTCTGGCCTGCAGCCGCTTGCTATTAAAATTGGTTGAATGGTTGTTCTTTGAATCTATCGTAAGCTTTTCATCATCATGAAGAGATCATTTTACAGCATTTGGATTGATCAATGGTCAGTGGTGCCACCAGTGGAGACGACTGATCTATCTGGGAAAACAGTTCTCGTCGTCGGCGCCAATGTAGGCATTGGACTCGAGGCGTCCAAACACTTTGCCCGTATGCAACCAGCGCGGTTGATAATCGCCTGTCGTAGCGAGGCCAAGGGAAAGGCCGCTTTAGCTGGTATGTATAGCCGTTTAGAGTGAATCTGACGCAAGATGATTGACGTCTTTTTCTGAAGAAATCAAACAGGAGACCGGATACAATGGATGCGAACTCTGGATAATCGACCTTGCCAGCTTTGCGTCAGTGACTGCATTCGCTGACAAATTCGAAAAGGAGGGCGGCGATTTGCATATCCTGGTAATGAACGCAGGGATCGCGCAGGCCAGTTACCAATCTACTACTGATGGCTGGGAATCCACGTTGGTCCATCTCATTTCCCTGCATGTGGTTATCACTCATATTTGCTTTTCAGGCTGCAAGTTAATCATATTGCAACGTCACTGCTTTCATTGCTCCTCATTCCGCGACTAGTCGCTGCGGGGAGAAAGTCATCAACACCTTCCCGGTTGGTAATCGTATCCAGTGCTGTCCACCACTGGATTATACCCGCGGAAGAGATCAAGACTTCTTCGAAACCACTTGAAATTCTGAGCAGCCCAGAGTGGTGTACCGAGTAAGCAGACAAGCCCAACTTCATACGGCTTTCCCTCACCAGATGTCTCTTAGGCACATGCGATCCCGGTACCCTGAGTCAAAGCGTACGTGCCTCCCACCTTCGTTACCCATTTCAACCTGACACACGCACCCAGTGTTGAATATCTTCTTCGTTCGTGCCTTGACAGACAGGTTGCAATCCATCACACCACTCAGCGCCGTAGCAGTGACCCCAGGATTCTGCTATTCACAACTACGTCGTTCCTGGTACGAGCAACCGACTTTTTCATTTTACAGAATCGCAATCGCCATCCAGGAACTTCTCCTGGCGTGGACGCCTGAACAAGGCAGCCGTCAACTTATATTTAGTGCGGTAGGTGGACGGGACAATGAAGAACATATGAAAGGCGGATTCGTAAGCCATGGTCGCCTCGTAGAGGTCGCCGATTACGTGCTCAGCGACGAGGGTCGTACAATGCAGGATACTGTTTGGGTAGGAGTTCACGTCCATTGATTCGCCGTTCATCAATGACTGACGTTTTCTATCAGAATGAGACGATAGATATTCTGAGCAGGGTTTCTGACAAGATTGCTCCGATAGTCCAGGATTATCTGGTAGTACCTGACTCGTCTACGAACTGACGTGTATATGTGATACATTATCAACGAGGTAGCTCCAGACGTAGCTTTTCAGAAGAATGTGCACCTTTGTTCTTTATAGTTTGCATTATCTACTCTTATAATCTTGTCTCCTCATTTTACCTACTGAGTCTTGGTGATTTGTTCTGGTCAGCGCCATATTCATTTTGTCATGAACTTATCCCTCTGAGGTTGGATGTGAAACGATGTCGACAGTTATACGCCACCTTCAGCAACCTGCATAACTGTCAAGAGAATGTTATTGGCCAGTACTCAGCGAGCAGCACACATTCAGCATTGAACTACGTCATATTATCAACACCCAGCCTCGCCCGGAAACCATCTCCTAATATGCTCTATAGTTCCAAAAAGCATATTCCGTACGTCCTTTAGGAAGGCAAGTATCGATGATAGTAATATTTGGTTTGGACATACCAATTTCTCTTTGATCTTTCTTCTCGATGGCCTCCCTCATGCGGAACATGATTCGGTCTGGTATTTCATCCATTTTTTGTGGGTGATAACCTGTACCACGCCTCCCTTTGTCGTAGCTAATCCGTGTTCGTCGCAAACTTCGGAAAATCTGGGGCAGTAACCAAGCTTTGCGGATTGGCACAATTAAATTAGTTCATTTTGGACCATCCATTGACAAACAACCAACCTACTTTTTGGAGCTTTATGTCTGCTGAGTTCCAGATGCAAGGTCTAGACCCTCCGAGTCAGCCATAAAGCAGTCCGATACTATCATGTTATTCGAGATTGTCACGGTAGCACAGTACATGACAAGGACAATCGATGCTTGAAATTTTGATGTAACGAATGCTAGTAAGACAAGGGACAGGCGCGATAGTAGACAAGCATATGATAAAGGACAGTGGGTCTGCACTACGGATAACTGTCAGAGAATCCATTAGACCCGCAAGAGATACAATGGCAAATGCAAAACCAAAAACGCGAGTACAGCACCCAGTTTGTTTTGTCGCTGTTACGGCTGGAGGAGTAGTGATGGGAGGAAGGGGTGGTGGTGGTTGGTGGTGGTGGAGGAGGAGGAGGTGGATATGGTGATAATGAGTCCGTTGTAGGGGTAACTACTACCCGCAGGGGCGATGGCAACGACTGTGCCCTGCCTTTGTTGTGGTCCTCTTGCCGCTGCCCTGACGAGGAAGCTGGGGTTGTCGGTGGCCGAGCGGTATGTCTAAGCTTGGAACAAATGAGCGTAGGAACGAGGAAAATGTAACAGAACCCACTCACTTTTTTCTTTTGAGCAGCAGCACGAGGACTAGGAGCGGGACGGGAGAAAAACCCTGGTGGTGACAGATTTGGTGCAACATCAGCATCAGGAGGTGGAGATGTTGGAGTGGCAGGAGCAGCTGGTGGAGAAAATTGCGTTGTCGGCCGACTTAAGGATGTCCTTCGGTGACTCCCCCCCACTCCACGAACAGTCATGTCCTTTGAAAAGTCAAAATTCGGCACTGCATGAAGACACTGGTAATAAACCTACGCCGCCTGACAAGGCCTCCAGTTCGCTCTTCAAGAAGTCTACGGCCATCGAGGCAGATGGACGAGACGCTGCTGCTGACCAACACATCTTGATCTCATCCCAGCGTGCGTCCGTAATATCGGGCGAATCAGATGTTGCAGGACGCGATATGCACTTTCCTCTACGAATGTTTTCAAGGACTGTAAAGTCGTCGATAATTGTATGCCATGGAATATCCAGAGTCAACAGCTGTGAATAGCCGATCGTGACCAACAGTAGATACAGTCTTGCGAGCTTCAGACTCACGTGAAACATGACGCAACCAAAAGAATACATGTCGTTCTCTTTCGTCGGGCTGCCGCCATTGAGCAACTCGGGCGCGGTCCAACTGAGTGCATCAAGCCGATCATTCGATCCTTGGATGACGTGGTTACCTAAGCGGCCACCAAGGACTGTCGCCAACCCAACGTCCGAGAGACACGCGCGGTATGTCCCTGCCTGGATGTCCACCAGAACATTCAACTGGAATGTCCCGTCAGTAAAGGGCCATATCAAGAAGTTCAACGAACACTAGTGATATCTCCATGGACAATATCCAAACCATGAACTAATGACAACCACGTCAGTTGAAGTAACGTCGTACGAAGACAAGGAAGACAGACGATACTCAAGTCCAGACGCCGTGCCGAGACGCTAGTGGTCATCACCATGGAGGATTCAGTCTAGATAGATTACAAGTAAACAGTGGCTCACCAAATGTAATTTCGACTCGATGCTCAATTGAGCGCCTTGTTCTTCAATTATTTGGCGTAGCGTGGTATCAAACCATGGAAAGACAAGGGCTGGGGCTGGGAATGACCCAAAATCCCTTGCCGTTCCAAGAAGAGGAACAATGTGTTCATGCCTGAGGATAGCCCAGATCTTGACCTCGCATAGAAATCTCTGGCAATTAATGCTTAAGGAGGTACAGAGCGCAGAGGAATGTCAGAATTCTCACCTCTAATTCTTGATGTGAAAGAGCAACCCTGATCACTTTCACAGCAACCTGCAGTGAAGATAGTCAGCACCGACACGTCACACCAGCATTAGCCAGACCTTGATAAGCCCCGTTGGTTGTTTGTATTCACATTTAAAAACGTTTGCAAAGGCACCTCCTGCGAAATAGCCGCCAAATCGCCCAATAATCTGGCCTGTCAGATCCACTGGTTGTGAGTCATCGATCGCAGACGAATTGATGTATTCAAGAACTTTTTCAGCCTCTGGGCGATGCCCCGGCTCCCATGACCAGCATTTTTGAATCAAGCTCCAGAGACCATCAGGGATGTTCTCGGAACGCGTGGGGGTGGCTTTATTTGCCAGCTCGATGTAGATTTGATCTAGCTTTTTCTTCTCTTTCCATGGTATATCCCCCGAGATGATCTGGGTGGAGAAGGCTCAGGATGGGGCCACAGAAAGACAAAAGAGATCACACAAAGAAAATGACACTGCCAAGGGAATAGACGTCACTCTCGAAAGTCGGGTTTTCAGGGACACTCTCGATTCCAATGATTTCAGGCGCACGCCATCGAGGATTAAGGGTGTGGTGTACGGTCGACATGGACGACTAGAGATCTTGTTTTCCTACAACGGTGGCGAGACTGAAATCTGTGAGACGTGGATTCCCTGAACCGTCGATCAGCACATTTCCCTGGGTAGCAAGTGAGTGCGACATATACAAAGAGACGACCATACGTACGGGGTGAAGGTCCCCGTGAACGACATTCTCCAAGTGGACTGGGTAAGCCTATCAATGACTAAAATAATGTCTAGATAGAAAATGACGAACGATAATTAATGCCACCAGCGACGCCCTTGGTCTACATAGTAGCATATGGTTCGATGAGCGTGTGTAACATGTGAATGGGGAACTCACCAATGCAACTCTAGCAGCAAGGGTTATGGCGTGCGTCTCGAGGTGTTCATACAATGTCCCAGAAGGCATCCATTCCAAAACGAGAGCCGGAAGCGGTGAATCGAATGTTGCGATGCCAAGTAGCGGCACGATATAAGTCGATTTACTGAGCTTAAGCCATATTGCGAGTTCCCGACGCAAGTCCTATATAGACCATAGAATAATGTAGAGTGAAGTCGGCACCCTCCAATATTATTGAAAAGACTTGCGCTCTCGAGTTTCTCCTCGAAGTGGGATCCTTTGGTGAACACCTTCACTGCAACCTGGCAGATACCATATTTATGCATGAGCTCGAGGTGCTCAGATAGACAGTCACAAACCTCCGTTTTGCCTTCATTGATGGTGCATTTATAAACTTGGCCAAACGAACTCGATGCAACCGGAGATCCAAGCTTGATTTGAGATGTAAAGTCATGTATGGTCTCAGCGGTATTGCTGCAGAAACCATGAATCGAAGACCGCAGATGCACGCGCTGCATCATGGGAGTAGACTCACTCTTTAAGCGCATTTTCCTCCATGACTCGGACGTGGATGTTGAGCGCTGTTCTACAAGTGGCCGTATGCAACCTTTCCAGTACTTACTTTGTAAGAAGGGCAGCCGGGCAAAAAACCTCCTGCCGAACACCATCCATCAATGGTGTGGGAATGACAATTGTCATTCCCTTCCCCGTGTTCGGTTCCCGTTCAAGACGCGGCCTTGCCCGTGAGTATCCTCGTCGTGTTTTGCGCAAACGCTGATTGACATGACACACCCATAGTTTCTCTCAACCGGTTTAACCTCGTGCAAACGTTCAGCATGGCCTACAGTGTCCTAACCGGTTCCTTGATCATTGCGCTGCGCACTGTGTAATGTGCTGACCATTCCCCGGGGGAATGAAGTTGCAAGAAAACATGGATGTGGTTGTCGACATCTGCGCCGTCACCTGACAGTTCCTCGGGCGGTGTACAACATCGATCCACATACCTAGTCTTTCCTTATGAAGGCAGGTACTCGACTGAGTGAGTTTCTTTCGGCCTGCATATAACTAACCGACATGAGTCCTGCCATGCTCTAGATGGAGCACCCCGTTTGATGAGTGCTATTTTTATTCGTCTGACCCAGTCGTTACTAATCATGATTACGAGTTGCACTCCGCTCGCGGCCACTGAGTTGTGCCATCATCCTCTAGACAAGCCTTGCAATTGGCACCGCATGGACAAGACTGTGTAATGTGCTGACCACTCCATGACACCCAGTGATGTCATGACGTATGCGCGCTGACTCTGGCCTACTATAAAAGCAGCCCGAAACATGATTCTTTGAATATATCGCAAGCTTTTCATCATCATGAAGGAATCGGCACTCAGCATTTGGATTGGCCAATGGTCGGCGGTGCCCCCAGTGGAGACGACTGATCTATCTGGGAAAACAGTTCTCGTCGTCGGCGCCAATGTAGGCATTGGACTCGAGGCATCCAAACACTTTGCCCGTATGCAACCAGCGCGGTTGATAATTGCCTGTCGTAGCGAGGCCAAGGGAAAGGTCGCTTTGGCTGGTATGTATAGCCGTTTAAATTGAACCTGATACGAGATTATTGACGTCTCTTTTTCTGAAGAAATCAAACAGGAGACCGGATACAATGGATGCGAGCTCTGGATAATCGACCTTGCTAAGTTTGCGTCAGTGACTGCATTCGCTGACAAATTTGAGAAGGAGGGCGGCGATTTACATATCCTGGTAATGAACGCAGGGATCGCGCAGCCCGGTTACCAATCTACCACTGATGGGTGGGAATCCATGTTGGTCCATCTCACTTCCCTGCATGTGGTTATTGCTCATATTTTCTCTTCAGCCTGCAAGTCAATCATATCGCAACGTCACTGCTTTCGTTGCTCCTCATTCCGCGACTAGTTTCTGCGGGGAGAAAGTCATCAACACCTTCCCGGTTGGTAATCGTATCCAGCGGTGTCCACCATTTGATTATACCCGCGAAAGAGATCATGACTTCTTCGAAACCACTTGAAATTATGAGCAGCCCAGAGTGGTGTACCGAGTAAGCAAACAAACCAAACTTCATACGACTTTCCCTCACTAGATGTCTCTTAGGCACATGCGATCCCGGTACCTTGAGTCAAAGTGTACGTATCTCCAACCCTCGTTACCCATCTCAACCTAACACATGCACCTCAGTATTGAATATCTTCTTCGTTCGTGCCTTGACAGACAGGTTGCAATCCATCACACCACTCAGCGCCGTAGCAGTGACCCCAGGATTCTGCTATTCACAACTACGTCGTTCCTGGTACGAGCAACCCACTTTTTCATTTTCCAGAATCGCACTTGCTATCCAGGAACTTCTCCTGGCGTGGACGCCTGAACAAGGCAGCCGTCAACTTATATTTGGCGCAGTGGGTGGACGGGACAATGAAGAGAATATGAAAGGCGGATATGTAAGCCATGGTCGCCTGACAGAAGTCGCCGATTTCGTGCTTAGCGACGAGGGTCGTACAATGCAGGATGCTGTTTGGGTAGGAGTTCAAGTCTATTGATTCGCCATTCATCAATGATTGACGTTTTTTTTTTATCAGAATGAGACGATAGACATTCTGAGCCGTGTTTCTGACAAGATTGCTCCGATAGTCCAGGATTATCTGGTAGTACCTGACTCGTCCACAAATTGACGTGACATTATCAACGGAGGTAGTTCCAGACGTAGCTTGTCAGAAGAATGTGCGCCTTTGTTCTTCATAGTTTCCGTTGTCTGCTCTTATGATCTTGTCTCCTCATCGCACCTACTGAGTCTTGGTGATTTGTTCTGGCCAGCGCCATATTCATTTTGTCATGATCTCATCCACTTATCTCTCCGAGGTTGGGTGTGAAAAAAGTCGACGGTTATACGCCACCTGCAGAACCACGCTATATTTCATACGCAAATCCCGAATCCATCTACATCCAGCCTCGCCCAGAAACCATCTCCTAATATCCTCTCCTTCAAAGTTCTATGGTTTCAAAAAGCATATTATGTGCGTCCTTTAGGAAGCCAAGTATCGATGATAGTAATGTTTGGTTTGGACATACCAATTTCTCGTTGATCTTTCTTCTCAATGGCCTCCCTGGCGCTCTCGCAAGTGAAATACCATTCGGTCTGGTATTTCACCCATTTTTTGCGGAACTTAACCTGTACCACGCCTCCCTTCGTTGTAGCTAATCCGTGTTCGTCGCAAACTCCGGAACATCTCGGGCAGTAACCAAGCTTTGCGGATCGCTTCGTCGACGTGCCACACGAGCGCTCCGCTGATGGGTACTGTGGAGGGGCGGCATGATACGCGCGATTGGATGTTGATAGCTGTGGCTTTGAGTGAAGGTGTTGAAGGTTCAGTAAAGCAGAGGTGGAGAGACGTACAATAGCAGTGGGGGTATTTAAATAGAACTTGAAACATACTGTATGATCATATAAACCACTCGAATCTTGTCACTTGGAGTATTGATGTGAATTGCACCAGGGCACCAGGATTGCGGGACAGCTAAAGTCCGGCCATCCAGATCAATTGCCTAAAATCCGAGGTGGGGAGACCAAGGGAGATCAAAGAAACTTGTGGTCATCTTGTAATCCATTCAGGCTACAATCCAAATCAGCAGAAGCTCTTCTATCTCCCAAGTACGTCTGATAATTACACATCGTCCATAGTTAAGCCGTAGCTCCAAGTCAGAACTCACCTTGTACAAGTGCCGCCACTCGTACTAGAACGTACCTTCGTGACTGGCAGTGGAAATACCAGTGAGCATGCGAGGATAGGGTCGCGGCTAATGCTACGCGATTAGTGGTCCCGTTCTGGTTTTTGAAACTTGACTAGGAGCCAAAATATCATCTTCAGAAGTTATTGTGCACCTCATTGACCAGAACTAGGTGCTCGCATGGGCATTTCTTGCTCCGTTTTCACTGGAAAGGTCCAGTAGCTGAGCCCAATGTCCTGGTCCGTGCAGCGTGAATCCCTCTACTGTTTTGATAAATATTCAACGGACAAAATGAGGTGCGTAGAGAAGAATTTGACGATAGCTGATCGCAACCTCGGGGGTTTCAACATTTTGCCTCCTGCAAGATTTGAATCAAAAGCAGATCTAGGACTGAATTACCTTTCAAATATAATTCCACTGGTAGCGAAATACCAGTTTCCTCGCCGTGTCCAGGCTCGTGACCGGTCTGGAGTATACTACCCGTGACGGATGCTCGAGTGGTGTAGCCAGGCTGGTCAAGTGGCGTGGCCGGCATTATGTGGTCGACGCTGTTCAAATAGTGACTGCCCTCAGCGGCACGACCGGCATCTGCCAAATTTCAAACTCCTCGCTTCGCCTGCTAAATCAATCTGACTACGCCCGTTAAGAACATCTCACCCGTCTGGAATTAACGCATAGTCAGGCTGGTTACGAGGTCTGCGCTGTGTGATCATCGTCCGATGACTCTGCTGATACTTGTACGATACAATCAATCAACTACATTCCGACTCTCTTCAGATAAGCACTCTGACATCAGTACTTCAATCCTCGATCAACCGCGCACTCCTCGGCTCTCCTCCACAACCTCCAATAAGAACCGTCTGCTCCGCAAACGCCGTGCCCTTCGCCAACAAGTACAAGCTCTGGCGATCATCACAACCCAAAGGCATGTTCGAGTCCACCCGAAAGCCGGTCCAAACATACATGAACCTGGACATGAGCCCGCAAGCCACCGGAACGCCCACAGCAGCATTGTACCACGCGAGCGCGACGACGAGCGCCAGGAAGATCATGACATGGTGGAATGCGCACTCGGCCCAGTGCGCAAAACGGCGAATACCTTGTAAGGACTCGAGATAGCCTGGGCGGAACACCACAACCTCGAGCTTCTGAGGGAACAGAAGAAGCGCCCCGCCTACTGCTGCGCACCAGGGAACAAACAGTGCCACGCGGAGAATACCGATGAGAATACGTTGGGAGGATTCACGCTCTCCAGGGGAAGAGTCGGCAAGAGGGACTTGCGTAGCCACAGTTGGCGACGAAGGCGTAGCGGCCTGTAGTTCCTCGACGAATCCAGGAAGACTGAAAATAGGGCTGCGCAGTCTACGGGATGGCTTATTGATATTCGAGGACGGCGGCCCCGAGATAGATGCTATCCTTCTTTCCGCCTTGTGTCCAACAGTCTTGGCCTGAAGACGTCAGCAAGGTTCGATGACAACGAATAAACGCACCTTTTGCAGAGGCAGATCATGCACGGAGAAATATCGGTTTGGAAGGCTGTAGAACTGCCCACGTGACTTCTGTTAGTACCATGCTCAAACTACTGCCGACAGACTGACCTCTTCTGGTCTCATTTTGACCGAAATCCTCCTTCCAAACCTTTCTCGCAATGGACTGGCGATGAAGACCGGCTCCTCCTCCTCTGACTTCTGAAACAACCAGTAAATTCAACACTACACCCAAAGACGAGACCGACTTACCCTTTTCTTAAAGACCGTAAAAGCCCTGCTCATGGTTTTCACAACGGTAGACAACGTGCGCTGACGGGAATTGAGTGCAGTTGCGGCCTTCTTCATATCAAGACTGCCTCGCAAGACCGGACGCAGCTTCGCCTCGCTCTCACTGGCAGAAGTATGCCGCACGTCAAGTTTGAATACCTTATCCTCGTCATCTTCAGGAGTGGTCTGTCCTGACGAAGACGCGTAGGAATATCGGTCAAAGTCCGATGAGTTTGAGCTTTTGTCCGAAGATACGCTGCTGAAGGATGAGCCACGCTGGAGGGTTGTCAGTTTTGACGCCCATTTAAGCACACAAGAAGACAACCCACTAGCACAATCAATGATGAAGTCGTAGTTTTCGCGTTCGACATGGTTGTATGAAGTAAGAAGCTACAGGGGAAGCTTGCGCAAAGAAATAGGCGGCCTGGAAGGAAACAATTCTGAACTCGCCTGACACGTTCATCACGAAACAAGCAATGGCAGTGTCTCTGGATGAAAGTCTCAGACGAAATCAACAAAGGTGTGACACATCATAAAGGACAGTATGAATCAGACGTTGGATTTCATTAAATAGATAACCATCGTCTGTAGAGCGCATCAGCTAATGGTACGGCACCAGTAGTCACGTAGATGAGAGAAAGATTATACGCGGCCTCTTTTGCGACGGACGCATAGTGCTAGTAGGATTGTCAGCCACCGTCAGCCGCCATAATCGAACGTGGCAGACGTGCTACTCACCTCGCTTCCCCGCTTTTCGGCAATCTCAAGAACACGCTCGTAATGCGTGACAGCGTGCGTATGAAGACCTTGACAGAGTCTCTAAGATAAAGGGCTGTCACATGAGAAGGGAAAATTTTCATACCAAGCTGATGGAACGCCCGACCAAAATTGTAGTCTACCTCCGCAAGCATCTCATCATCAGATGATTTCCGGATTTTTCGATACAGAGACAAGAAGGCCATTCCCTACCACATATTTGAGGTACGGACCGGATGAGGAGCATAGAAGACCCACTTGTGCTATCATGTGATGTCGATTGTCAGACTGCCGCTGCATAGCTCTACCAAGAGAAGCGATGGCTAGAGACAGGCAGACGACAGGATCTTCAGGGCAATAATCGTACGCATGCAACAAATAGACTGGAAAGAACGGTTATTAGGAACTCCCGGAAAGGCATACTAACTTGCATATAGCGCTCTGGTAGCTTTTGGCAGCGAGAGACATCTGACCATAAAGAGTCACGAGGATTGGATTGTTCTTCGTAGGCATTCTGACCGCTGTTTTCTCCGTCGCGTTACTCTCCGTTGGACCAGGGATCTCCGCTTCTTCATCTACTTCTTCCTCGACTTCGTTCGCTTTCGAAGGCTCTTCCTTGCCTGATGACGACATATTATATTTGCGCCCAACAACATTCCATTTCATGAGTTCTGGAGTCTTGACAGAAGCATCGTGAAGGCGGAGTTCACGAAGTGCATGTTTTTGCAACGTGGAAGAAACGAACGAATCGGTAGGGCGATGTCCGCTGGCTAACGAAACCAGGAGAAGGCGAAAAGCTTCGTTGTTGAACTGGTGGGTGTTGATGATTTTGCGACACTGTTCTACTGCGATAGAGAACTTGCCAGCATGGATGGCGCACGCTGCAAGACATGTTACAATATCGAATCAAAACAAAACAAGACGCTCACTGATGATCGCTATTCGAATCGTGTTCTGTGAATTGGAATCTCGATAGGCGTTCGATAAGAGGACATGGCGTAGGACTTCTTCGGCCTGATCGTAATCTCCCCGTTTGGTAAGAACGAAGGCGTACTGTGAAGCCAAAGCGATTAAAGAGTCAGATCAATAACAACTGCAAAAACTGACTTGCATGAAAATCCTCAGCCAGCTCGCAAATGTAACGCCGCGGAACGAATCCACCTTCACGGATGCTTGACTGTCATCTTTGGCTTTCCGGGTATGTTTGTCGCGTTCTACAGAGTGTTAAGGTCAAAATAACGTATAGTCAGCGAACGCCTGCCATCACCGACCATTAAGTTCGAGCCTTGACACCATCCTGTCCTCGTCTGTATCATCCCTTCGTTGTATTCTTCTCTTGGGGAACATGCCCTTAAAGTCATAGTCCTGCCAGAATCGGTCAGTGACTTCATCACAAGCGCAGTGATACCTATCCAATCACCCTCGTTGTCAAAAACAAATTCCTTGTCTCCCTAAACATTTCCACAAGTTTCTCTGCCTCAAGCATCCACTCCCTCTCTGCCTCCACGTCTCCGTGCAACATACGCGGCCACAGATCATCAACGCGGTTGTACCCTAACAGCACCTCCCGCTCGCGTTGCTCTTCGAGCGCTTTGAGCTCGGACAAGGTGAGCCTGCTTTTACCGGGAGCTGGAGTTTTGGCTTTGGTGCGTGATTTCTCTTCGAAGAGCGATGCGCCTTGTGGTTGGGGAACATTACCGGGTGCGGGTGTGGCTTCAGGCTGGTGCGCACGTCGTTTGCGAGAGTCGATGACTGTTGAAGGACAGATATTGGATTCTTCAGCTTAAATAGTAAGAGACGCTCTAGCCTTGATAAACGAGTTCCAGGGCCTTCCGAGGTTCGTCCATGATTTCGTAGAGCTCGGCGAGTTTCATCTTCGCGTCGTTGTTGGTTTGATCCGCATCAATGACTAATGGGATATTAAACTTTAGCATGATGTATGAAGGACTTTCTCACCTTGCTTATAGACCTCTGCGGCCTCTTGCAAATCACCGAGCATCCTACGGCACACTGCAACCTGAAGCAGTACGTACAAGCTACTTGTCTATACAACGGATCAGCAGGAAAGCCGTTATGAAAGTCAAAGGAAACGCACTGCAGGGTCCGCGCCGAGAACCTCGTAGATCGGCCTTGCATCAGCATACATCTCACGCTCAAAATATGAGTCAGCGATCTCTCCAAAAAGAGCAGCATAATCGAGAACATCTTGCGCGAGGACGATAGAAGCATGCATCTGTGAGACCCGTCATCCACCCATAGGTTTTTGGTGCATGACTAACACGCACCTTGCCTTCCTCGACTTCTCCTAGCTTGATCCGCGCGATGGCGAGTCGGTGTCGGGCGTTGACGTCAAGAGGATAGTGACCGGGTTGAACATCGCCGCTTCGCTCGATATTCACGTTACCTCGATCCTCGCGAGGTAAATCGTATTCTCGGTCGTCTATACACCCATCCCAGAAGCGCTGGTTTGCGCGGCCTTGTAACCATCTGCATCCTTTCCTTATTATTTGGATTGCATGATCGTATTCTGTCATCGTGTTATACAGATCGGCGAGAACTAAAAGGTCGATGAAACCGAATATTTGGTTCGGTGGCAACTGGTCATTCAGGGAAGGGTCGATAGGATGTGCAGGACCCAGAGGCTGAATGGTCTGGTAGTGTTCCAAGGCAGCCTGGTAAAGAGAGGCACAGAGGGGAAGGTCTGATACTTCGATGAGTATCGGACGAAGCTCTGCCAGAACTGTCATGTCATGTGGAAACCGTTTCAAAATTGCAAGAAGGGAATGGCGAGCCTAGATTGGGGTGATATGTTGGAGAAGCGTGAATAGGAAATGATGTGACATACAGCGCGAAGGTCGTTTATTTCCTTTGCCAAGGAAGCACGGTCCCAAAGTGCGTCCACATTTGATGGGTCAAGACTATATACCTTGCTGTAGCAATATATGGCTTGTTGATTATAGCCCAAATCTCTGTTGAAACGCGTTGTTGGTCAAGGTTCCCTTGGATGAAAGCCGATCATGACCCTACCTTGATTGTGCAGCTAGTCTCTCCCATTCATCCGCATCGTGCCGAAGATGTGCAGCCATAATACGTAGTTGGAGCGCCTTCTTCGGCTCGTTTGAATCTTCATAGCATTGAGCAATAACGGACCACGCCGACGACGCTCGAGGCTCGATGCGAATGACTTCCTGCATGATTCGAATTGCTTCTGTGATATTTCCATCGACATATGCTTGATTCCCTTCACCTATGAGGGCGCGTACTTGATGGGAGAGCACAGGTCCGTGCTGACGACCGCGCTGAGAACACGATGCAAAAATGCAGTTGCGGGGGAGTCCAAAAGAACTATCAGACTACGCACTTTCTTGCTTTTTTTCTTCCCTATCCCTGATGCTTCGCGAAGGTCATCGCGAAATTCCGCGTCTTGCTGGGCGATATTGAAGTCCCATTCTCGATGGAGCATCGCTGCATTTGATACGTCATCTGTCATGCGAATGTTGCTCACTAGTCGGCTGCCATCTCATACTCAGATACGAAAATCGTCTCAAGGGAGATGTATGCACTTGAAATCTGTGTCGATCTCTGCTTGAACGCCATGAGGCAATTCAATGTCTTCAGCTTCCGATTCTTCTTCTCCTTCTGCTTCATCATCGCCAGATTCAGAGTCATCCGCATAGTCTGACTCTGAGTCCACCACACTCAGGCTCCCGTCGTCTACGGTGAAATCAAGAAATAAACATGCCAATCACGATTTCAAGACTTACAGAAGTCGTCCTCTTCATCCATGTTTGCGCGAAGAGGGCCACCTTGTGACATCTGTGACTGCGTGGACCTGTCACGTTTCATGTTTACCGGGTGGCCCGGTGTAGGCCGTAGCACTTGACCGCCGTGCAGCACTTTGACCAAGAACTTCCACACTCACTGACTCGACATCGATTCTCCAGTCTTTCCCTCGCCGAAGCTTCTCATAGCCCAAAACTAGTACAACGCGGTTTATATCAACTTACGTAATCCACAACTGATTTCCAAGCTGCACGCATACCGTGCCTGACATTGACTTGCCAGCAACCTCCATGGCCATGGATTCATCCCTAGATCTCAACGGTTTGGCTAAATCTCTACCAGCAGCAAACTTCGAGAAAGCTGAGAAGGACCTATTGAACAACTTTAAAGGTGATGAGCTTTTCTCTGACGGGCTTCACCCACGTTACTCACGTTCAGCACACATAACAAGCTGCTGCGCTCAGTATAACAACCCTTTACCGATCTTCAAGACATGCCTCCAAACGAGCTTATAATGCAGGATACGCAACAGCCTGTCAAGATCTCATGTCGATGATCCAACAGGGAGTTTCTACAGGTGGTGTAGCGCTATCTGGCTCAAACAACCCTGCCGGAGACGTGATGACCATCGGGCGAATCATGGACTGGATTGAGGCTAGAATGGAGGCAGTAAAGGCTCGCGAAGAAGAGGAGGATGAGGATGAAGAACGTGAAAGAGAAAAAGAACGAGCAAGAGGGAGCGTCCCTGCCAGTCGCCCCGACACAAATAAAGGTTCCACTCCCCGTGATGTTTTCACCGGGGACACCACGAGGAACACTGTACAATCAGGTCCCTCTTCTTCTCGTCTGGAACAGCAAAATGTATGCTTCTTGATCCTTTTTGTTGCACATTAGCTGATATATTCCCCTTCTCTTAGGCTGCTCCAGCGCCTTTGACTCCGCACTCACCTTTCACGGTTAACACCCCAAATGTTCCCAACAGACAATCCTCACCCACACCATCCGCTGTGCCACCCGCACGCCAATCAAGCCACCCATACGCCGGCCAACGTCCATACAAATCCCGTGCCTTAGGCGCCAAGAAAGACAATTCCGAGCCCTTCCCCGCCGGCCCACCCATCACGGCTTGTCTTACACCGTCAGAGAATCTATTCCGCATGTCTCCTGTCACAGCAGCAACATCTGTTACAGGAGACCCTGCTTTCTCCGACTATACCGCTGGCGCCAAGCGCCGTCATGCTGTCATGATGATGCTCGATTCCAGCGCTTCTTCAGGCGCTACCGAATCATCTTCACAAGGGAGTAGCGTCTCATCAACCATCACATCCACCTCTGGAAATGCTAGGCGGAGAACGCGAAGCTCGCGTGCATCTGTCCTTGGCGCCAGCCATACACAGACCCAAAACAGCTTGGGAGACGCCATGGACGTAGAAGATGAGGGACGAGAACGAAAGCGAGTGGCCAGAAGATGATAGCCACTCGATTAGAAGTAAAGAAGGTAGGTATTACCTTCTAGTGTATGTCATAGGGTCGCGCTGTTTTTCTATCACCCCATTTCCACACAATCCTTTAGCATTTGATTTAACACACTTCTTATCCTCATCCCGTTGTATCGCTCACCCTGCACGAGTTCTGTATGTACGCTTGATTTCAAGTGATACCAATTTTTGTTTGGCAATCGTGGCATCCCCATTACTGTTTTACGCTAATATATGCAGTGGTTTATGGTTTACGTAGCAAGACTGGAATATCATAAAGGCGAATATCTCAATTCACCGTGACTGTTATAGCTTTGGCGTCATTCCACCACTCATCCCCGGTGACCTCTTCCCCAGTATACCCCATTCAGCTCCAAACTTGGCTCCCCTATCCACTTGTACTGTTCTGAATCATCATCAGTCTCATCGTCACAATTCCATCTGCATTCACTCACCGTCCGCTCAAAGACTCCTATTTACTGGAGCGCGTAGACCCTGGAAACGACCCAAACCCATACGACGCTTGAAGCGCTCCAAAGGCCGCTTCATAATTTTTCGGCTGGGACTGCCCAGGGGAAGTCTGCCCATGCTTCTTGTCCTTTTGTGACTTGAGCAGAGCTTCCGAGGATGTAGAGGTGACCGACGATGTAGATGATGATGATTTGTACATATTCAGTGGTAGCAGCGATGATAGAGCTCTGCGGCGAAAAATCTAGATTTTCTCTTCTGAGGAGCTGGGGAAGCCTGCTTGTGAGTGAGTGAGTGGGTGATCTGCCCTAAATACTGTTTTATATACTACATAGTAGGCGCCATAATGCATAATGTTTTATCCATACGACTCGTAGCGGCACCGCAGTCTACCGCAGTCCGGAAGCCATAACTGTCATAAAGCTCGATTTACTGGACTCACTATCCCAGCTTGGCAGAAGCCTTATGACAATGAATTGGGAAGTGACGCAAGGTGGCACTGCATATGTGGCAGTCCAGAAAGGAACGGGATCCCCCCGCAATGCACGTTGCTCATGATTGGCGCCCATATCCGAGTCATCACCCCAAAATTACGGGTCCGCAGCATAGTTCTGGGAAGATAATATCGAAATCATCGCACTATATGTCAATTGTGGCTAGGCTCGTTAATCATTATAAGTACTTCCTCAACCATGCCATGTGGCTCGTGTGTTATTTATTCTCTTGCTGCGTTCCATAAGCTTCAAAAGTTTTGGCTTGAGTGGTTTCTTTGCATCTGAATCAAGGTGAGTAGACAACGCGCAGCTGCGGCTCTCTGAACAATGCAACTGCAGTGTAACTGGCACCAGGAGGTGGCGCACCGGTGTTATGTTTCTGACCTTGAAAGCAGATAACAATTGCCTCATCCTCATGAACCGGAATAAGTCATCCAGTACTACAGGTTGAACGCAACCTATATCGGTCGTCACTGTGTGATTGTGTCAGCTCGCATCGTGCGGTATCAGCACAGGCATAAACTACGACTTACAGTCGGCGATGCCCAACCACCGAAAAAGGTCATGAGTATGGTTGCCGGTACGTCACACGAGCACTGGTCTGCTCAAGCGCTGAGCACTTATGACGACCTCTCAACAGTCTCCACTAAATCCCCCTCGATACACTCCCCCTCCTTTTGAAAAGTCTACTTCTTGCCATTCTCCGGAGGAGCAGTGTGCTTTCGGTCAGTGGTGGAGGGTCCATCGGTTGGGGTGGAGTGATGAAATCCAAGAAAGCATCACTCGCGCACAATTGAAAAACGGAGAGTAGGAAGGTGCACTTGCGAATGATTTTTGTTGCGAGTCGAAACATTGGATGACCTCTAACACTCACATTGGGGTCAACTTGGATTTCATGGTGCAGGTGCGTGCGTGCTTTGTGAGGATTGGAAGGTCGAGAGGAGCTGGCCGCTGGCTTCGCTCTTGCGTAATAGTTCCTGCGTGAAAATGAGCCATTGATAAAAGAGGGGGGGACTTAAAAGCTCACGGCGTCATAGGCTGGTCAATGTTACACCTGGCCGAAGACACAAGATCTTGTGGTGGATTCATACTCGCGGAATTTCCGAAACAATCAAGACATTGTGTGATTTCTGGCCAGCCGGGCATCACCTTGTGGACCTTGTGATGAAATGAGATACTCTATTGTTGATGTGAAACCTCTGAAAAATACGGGGCTGACAACACTATCACCATTGCGCGTCAACTACATCACGACTCGGATTAGGCAAATGTCTCACTCTGAAGTGTGGCGATTGTGGTAAACAATAAACAGAAAACAATACACCCACGTCGGTGTGGATTGTGCGTGATTAACGTCCAGACCTGCGATAGGTATATAAGGTTACCAACAGCTCACGAAGATATAAGTTGCAAACCCACTAACCCCCAATTTCTCGATACCTCTCTTTCTATAGTAGACTCAATTGTCTCGTGGGCTTCAAGATCTTCGTTAGTGCTGGGGAAAACTGCCCTAGCCGTGGAGTCGGGGTACAACGCCCCGACTCTACCACGACGGCTAGCCTTGCGTTAGCGTACAGTGACATATCGGATAGCTTCTGACATGTTCGCGTACACCAGCCCAAGGCTTCACTATCCTCCCTTTTCAGTGCGGTTTGTTGCCAAACTTGGACTGGAGAAGCCAGGGTACGCGGATATGCGCTGTACCATGGAAATGACCGGGAACAGGATGGACGACTATGCTTCAAGTTGTGCAAATCTGCCGCCATGTTCCAATGTTTAAGTGGGTTTCAGAAGGGGATTACTTTATGTTGACTATAAGTAATAGTTCTTGCAGAGTAGACATAGTCGTGCATCATTAGCATGCTATGTGTGGTTCCTTGCTACCGCGCTTATCTCCTCTATCTACCCTTGCTGGGCATTTCCAAGTGGGAACTGCAGCATGAAACTGCCACGCGAGGATCATGAAGCCTGACATGGGCGGCGGGCTTGGATTGCTGACACAGGCAGACATAGGTCTCGATGTCTGTACGTGTCAACGCAAGGTCGGATGTCCTGTTGTACTACATAGTAAGATATATGTCCTACAACATGACAAATGTCGATATTTACCACTCGGTCGTCACTGTGTGATGGGGTCAGTTCGCATCATGCAGTATCAGCACAGGCATAAACTACGACTTACAATCGGCGATGCCCAACCACCGAATGTAATCAAAGGTCTTGAGGAGTTGCCGGTACATCACTCGAGTACTGCTGCATATAATGTGGGGCCGGATGTATCCTAAATTGGAATGCAGGTGCGGAGCAACGCCATTTTTTTGTCCTAGAGGCTCGCTCGCATAGCGCAGGAAAGCAACTATCTATTTGTCGTATTCGGATCGCCGATTCTATGCGAGGGCATGGCCAAACATTGAATGCATAATCAAGATCCCTCAACAGAGCATGTGAGACCGATGGCTGCCTGCAGGTTACAAATCGTAAGTGTTTACATATTCCGCATTGGTTTCTCATAAAAACTAACCATGTGTGAACCGCAAAGACATTTCTAATTTCTCTCACTTGCACTCTCGACGTCGCTGCCGCGCCTCCTAATAATCAACATCGTGATTAGCAAGATATGCAGAATCACCATGACTCGTCAATTATGTCGACTATTTTCTTGATATAATTGGCAAGCCGTGTTAACCAAGATTCCAAGAACACGGGGCGAGGATCTCGTTTGAGTAACAGAATCGCGTCACTGTTATAGCAGCAGCGTGAATGGTTACATATCAGGTTTTCGTCTTTGAGTACACGTGTGCTCATGCTGTGTGGTAGCCGGTGAATATTGTTGACAACCGGTGACCATGTCTTCTCATAGGCAGGTTGGGTGGAAGAAGTTGGAAGTCTGGAAGGGCATGGTCATGGTATCATTCAACTTGTGGCGGTGTCGAATTTCCCGATCCGTAAGCGAGAAGAAGGCTCTGTCACCCATGAATGTTATCCTTAGACCAAGGAAGCGGTTCACTGTTTCCTCAGAATGCGTGCAGTATCGTAGAGAACGATCGCGACACGTTCTCCAATGCACCCTCGGAAGAGACGCCTCCAACCCCAACCCCAACTTTATCCACACAGGTAGCATCAACGCTACGAAACAACTGAAAGCAATTGGTGAGTGCCTCTGCTAGTCAAGTGCTCCAACTGATACACACCTGCAGCGAGGTATGAATAAGGTCTCAGACATGCTCAATCATCCTCCACCCCATCCTTCCAAGTCCTATACTTTTAAATTATCAGCCTCTATCCCCGCCTATACGACATTCATCTGATCATCAAGGTCTCATTTCAGATGAAGACTGGCAATTGGTCCGTCTCGCTGACATACTAATAATTCCTGTATCTTCATATGAACCAGAGCGTTGGTCCCGCCAGCCTAGCTCTCTAGAGTGTATTGGAGATGGATCTCCTCTACATGTTGTACATGTCTATGTATGCGTGTCCGTCAGGACCCCAGAACTATGTGACCCCTGTCACCTGCCTCGTGATGCATCTCTGATCTCTTCGCTATGTCTCGTTCTAGCCCTTGCCTCGTGCTCCTAACCCCTGCACTGCGCTCCCCGCTCCAGCGTGTTAGCATCCTTTAGTCTGCTTTACACTGGCATATGTGCCATGACCACGCGGGCGTAAAGTCATTTCTTCTTCGAAGATGCGGGTGTCTAAATGGCCGGAGACTAAAAGAGTTTAATGTTCCTTGCATATACGGTAGCTGCGCGTTTCAAGGACTGATTCCGCCGAATCAACTTTGTATTACATTGATGAAACCTAATTACACAGCCCTGTCTAGCCCATGACCACGTAAACTTTGGGCTCATTAGCTGACTCGAATGCTGTCTTATCGGATTTACACCTCACCTGTAAGAGATAAGAAGGTGGATATGCAAGATGGGTTCGAGAACCCCATTTCTTCACTAATCGACCATGGAGTATTCGGCGGACGATGTCGCAGCGGCCACGAGTCTCCAACTATTAACGGTGCGTCGCTTTCTCGATACGAGGACAAGATAACATATCTAGCATGTGCCACCAGTACCTATACAGTGCGTACTGTACGAACTGTTTCTTCCTCGTTCTAACTTGACAGCCCAGCGTCAATTACGACGTTCTTGGTAGGTTTGTCCTGATCTATTCCTGTCCGCCGTTAAACTCACTCATCCAGATCTATGATTATGCTTGTTCACTTCACGAAGAGGTAATGCATTTTTTCCGTGATACACCTCGCTGTGGATATTGATGCTACGTTGTTCAAAGTGGAAATTTCTACTTCGGTCGCGCTGGAGCAAAATCAAAGCCCTTTATGTCATTACACGATATCTCCCCTTTGTTCTCATCGCCATGTACATATGTTGTGCGTTGATGAGCTCCAGCATAATTCCCCGATAACAAATTGACATGTTGTACTTCAGTGAATTTCACCCAGAACGAGAGCCCCAACGTATGTGAACGTGCAGCAGACTTCCACTGATAAAGACGCTTACTGCTTGACTTCGACAGGAATGTCGGACTTTGATCAATGTTTACTCATGTACGCTGTACATGTTGCATGCACGTCCTTGCCGAGCACTGATATTTCCTCTCACAGCTTTCTGCCAGATATCACTCATCTGCTCTGAATGTATCTCTTCTTTCTCCACATCATACACGTGTTCCTGATCTGATGCATCCAGGCTTTTTTGTGATCAGAACATATGCGCTCTGGAACAACAATAGGATCATACTCGCAGGCATGCTGTCCGCTGTCTTTGTGAGTCTCGTGCCCTCAACACAAGTTTATGGTTGATGAATTAGTCAGGCTATTACCGTAGCATTCCCCAGCATTCGTTTTACCACTATTGCCACCTCATATGGTCTGTGTTCTCACCGTCTCCCACTACCATTCGCACATATTCACTCCATTTTCACAGTTACGGCCAGCATGATCACAGGCATCCCAGGCTGCTACTGGAGTTCGAGCAGTATCCGATATTTCATTCCCTATATTCTCTTGTTTGTGTTTCAACTGGGTATGTCACCGAGAACCGGGAGCACAAATTTACTAGTATAATCGCGGGCTGACTGACGCTCTCCAGTACTGGTCTCCCTCACACTGGTGCGTGTCATACAGAGCTGGCGGTCGGCCAAGGGTCATCTGCACGCTGTCCTGGTGAAACACAACATATTCTACTATGGATGCGCTCTCTGTGAGTCAGGACTTCTATATATGTCCTTACTCATCGATGGTGATTATTTTTTCGAAAGGTCTCTCAGCCATGAACTTCCTCATGCCGATACTATGTTCCGACGTGCGTAAACCTCCCAATACTCTCAATATGATTACTGAAGTCGGCGTTGATGTTCCGTACACCGTACATACAGTTCCCATACAATACCGTCCTCGAAGAGTATGCACCTCCAATTTCTGTTTCGAATTCCCACTGACAACAAATACGCATACAGTTTTCAGGTCTTTATCCTTGCGATCCTCGCCACGCGCATGCACCTCTATCTCTGGCATATCGACCGGGACGTGCACGGCTCTGACGCCCTCGTATACATTTCCATGTCTGACATGTCACCTACAAACAGTACGGTGTGATGTCTTATTGTGTTGCTTATTCGTCAAGTTGGTGGGATGAGGTTTGGGCTGCGGGATGACTGGTCGGGGTGGCATGGTCGTGTTTGGGACGCGCTCAACAGAACACTAATACACATATAATGTTACAAAGCTCTTATTAATAATGGTACTTATGTCACCCTGCGTCCAGTTGAGTTGATCCGGTTGTGTTTTGTCGTCCATCTTCTTCCTTGATTTCTGAGACTGAAGTGGCAGCGTTGAGGCCAACCTTGCCTGCAGAGCTCGAGATATCGCGCGAGAACCAGCCACGCATATAACCACCCTCTTCTGCTTTGCAAACCGTTCGGGGTTGTATACTCTGAGAGCCCGAGGTCGACGGTATCGCAGTGGCCAGGAATCTCCATCATTTAGCGGTGCTTCATTTTCTTAACATGACGGCAAGATAATCACAGATATTTATACCATGCATGGCTAGTTCATATGCAGTGCGTGCTGTCCAAACTGCTTTGTCCTCGTTCTAACTTGACATCCAGCGACGCCGGCATTCTGGGTGGGCTTATCCTGATCTATTCATATCTGCTCTCACACCTGTTTATCCAGACGTACACGTTCTCAAATGCGCTCTCGGAAGAGATGTATCCAACCTCGGTTCCATGATTTTGCATATCACGCCTACACGTCATTCACCAGATCATCAAGGCATCGTTTCAGATGAAGATACAGGCCGTTCTCTGTTACTACATCTGCCCCCTCATAGATTCCTATCTCAATCTGCTTCATGTGGACGAGCATCCTTCAGTCTGCTTTGATGACGTGCGTTGAAGTCATTTTTTCTTCGATGATGTGTGCGTCTAACATGGCTGGAGTCGATGAAAAGAGGTTATCGTTCCTTGTAAAAACGGCCCACATACTCCAAGGTGGCTGTGTATGCAAAGACTGATTGCGGCCGAATTAAGCAAAATGTTTTGTGGTGATCAATTTACATCCCTATCTGCCATGCGACCCTGCAGCTCGAATGCTGTCCCCAATCATGATGTTTGCACCTTACTCGTAAGAGATAAAAAGGTGCATGATGCATGCGAAAATCCCGTTTCTTTACTTATCGAACATCGAACATGGAGTATTCGCCGGACGATATCGCAGCGGCCGCGAATCTGCAGTTATTATCGGTGCGTGGCTTTCTTAATACGAGGGCAAGATAACATATCATGTGCCACCAGTACATATACAGTGCGTACTGTCTGGGCTGCTTCTTCCTCGTTCTAACTTGACAGCTCAGCATCGATGACGACGTTCTGGGTAGGCTTGTCCCGGTTTATTCCCGTCTTCAGTTAAACTCGTTTATCCAGATCTATGATTATGCTTGTTCACTTCACGAAGAGGTAATATGCTTGTTTCATGATACAACTCGCCCTGGATGTTGATAATCCGCTGTTCAAAGTGGAAATTCCTGCTTCGGTCGCGCTGGAGCCAAGTCAAAGCCCTTTATGTCATTACACGATATCTCCCCTTTGTTCTCATCACCATGTACCTATGTTGTGCGTTGATGAACTCCAGCATAACCCTCCCGATAACCCATTGACATTTTGTATTTCAGTGAACTTCACCCCGAACGCGAACCCCAACGTATGTAAACCTGCAGCGCGTTTCCACTGATGAAGATGCTTACTGCATGACTTCACTAGAAATGCCGGTCATTGATCAATATTTACTCATGTACGTGCACTGTACACGCTGCATGCACATCTTTGCCGAGCGCTGCTCTTTCCTCTCACAGCTTTCTGCCAGATATCAATCATTTGCTCTGGAAGTATGTCTTTTCCCTCCACGACATACACATACTCATAATCTGATTCATCCAGGCTTTTTTGTCCTCAGAACATATGCGCTCTGGAACAACAATAGGACCGTACTCGCAGGCATGCTGTCCGCCGTCTTTGTGAGTCCCATACCCTCAACGCACCCAAGTTTATGTGTGATGAATCAGTCAGGCTATTACCGTAGCATCCGTCAGCATTCGTTTTATCACTATTTCCACCTCATATGGTTTGTGCTTTCACCTTCTCCCACCAAATTTGCACATATTTACTCCACTTTCATTATGTTTCATAGTCACGACTAGCGCGATCCCAGGTATCCCAGGCTGCTACTGGAGCTCAAGCGGCGTCCAATTCTTCATGCCGTTCATTCTCTTGTTTGTTTTTCAACTGGGTATGTCGCCGGGAACTGGGAGCATACATTACAGACGTGTTGCACTGACTGACACTGTTACCAGTATTAATCTCCCTAACACTCACACGTGTCATACAGAGCTGGCGGTCAGTCAAGGGCCATCTGCACGCCATCTTGGTGACGCATAACATATCGTACTATGCATGCGGTCTCCGTGAGTCAGGACCTACATATGTCTTCGCAACTCATTAATGATGATTATTGTTCCGAAAGTTCTCTCGGCTGTGAACGTCCTCATACCAGTGCTGTTTTCCGATGTGCGTACACCTCTTAATATCCTTCAACATGATCGAGTCGTTGATGTCCGCACACACAGTCCGCATGCTACTCTGTCCTCGAAGAGTATGCACCTCCAACTTCTTTTGCGAATTCCCACTGATAACACCCCCAAACACACATCTAGTTTTCAGGTCCTTATCCTTGCGATCCTCTCCACGCGCATGCACCTTCATCTCTGGCATATCGACCGGGACGTGCACGGCTCTGACGCCCTCGTGTGCATTTCTATGTCCAACATGTCACCTGCGGACCATATGGCGTGACTTTCTATCATGTGGCTTATTCGTAGTTGGTGGAGCAAGATTTGGACTACGAGATGACTGGTTGGGCTCAACGAGCTCGACTACACTGTCTCCACGCTATATACGATTCTTTCGAGTCAGTTTTGCTTGGCTAGTTTCACTGATCTAGATATTGTTTTCTATCTATGTTCTAGCACTATCGTCGCGCTCGCTCAATTGAATTTTGTTCTGTTGCTATTGTGACGCCCAAAAATATAAGCGAATGTGTGGCTCGGGACCTTGACGGTGCCATATGCTGGTTAATGCTATACCTGGCCAAAGATACAAGATCTTGCGGTGGACACAGACTTGCAGGATTTCCGAACCACTCAAGATATTGTATAATTTCTGACTAACCGGGCATCACTTTGTGGACCTTGTGATGCAATTAGATGCTCTATTGTTGATGTGAAACCACTGCCAAATTACGGAGTTTGCCAGTAGGTCAGCCACATCAAATGTCTCACTCCGGAAGTGTGGCAATTGCAGCCAATAATGAACGCAAAATGATACACCCACACTAATGTGAATTGTGCGTAGTTGATGTCCACACCTGCGATAGGTATATAAAGTCACCAATAGCTCACCAAGACATAAGTCGCAAACCCACTCACCCCCTCAGTACATCTCTTGCTATATTAGACTCAAGTGTCTCGTAGGCTTCATGATCCTCGTTGGTGCTGGGAAGAACCGCCCTAGCTGTAGAGTCAGATGACAACGCCCCGACTCCACTGCGAGGTTGATCCTGTCTGCAGACCTGCCCCTATGTTCTAACGCTCTAGTAGGTTTCCGAAGGTAAATATCATATTGTAGGACAAATAACTTACTATGTAGTACCTCTGGACATCCCAACCTGAGCTGACACGTGCAGACATAAAGTCCTATGTCTGCCTGTGTTAGCGACGCAAGCCCAGCCATGTCAGGTTTCATTATCCTCGCTTGGTAGTTCCATGTTAGAGTTCCAACTTGGAAATGCCCAGCGAGGGTAGATGGAGGAGTTACGCACCGTGGAAGAACTGCTGCTTCTGGTCGGCATAGGTTAATGCCCCCAATGTTCTGCTGTTTCCTTTTCAAAGGCAAAGAAGTACATATGCTGCCATATCGCACAACCGATAACTTACTATGTGTCGCAGGACACCAGTAAGCCTTATCATGGAGGACTCGGAGGACCGGCCTTGAGTCGACATGAGACAGGTACAGGATTTATTCCTGACCGTGCCTGCGCTGCGGCAGGCCCGGTCTTGTTGGTAGGCTTCTTCTCCTGGTTTCAGGCATGGCTTAGGAACGAGAAACGTTCGAAGGGCTGGCACGGTCTCCTGCCCTTCTTTTCAGAGGTAAATGTGCCATATGATATATGGACGCCTTATCATGACGGGGACTAGCCTTCAAGTTGCGCTGGGGTATAAAATTTATGTCTGACCGTGCCTGTTTCGCAAGCCTAGTCTCCCGTAGTCAAATCGTCTTAATAGAAAAAAAGATAGTGACATAGTCGTTAACTTCCTTCCTTTCCAAGGCGCAAGCCCGGTCCTGGACAACTGAGGATGACGGTTGCAGAGCGTCGGCTGGCAGTGTACAGTCTTGATCTCTGGCTTTGTCGACGACGAAATAGGCAAAGAAGTTGATGTTGGTCTTCTTAACGGAGTCTAGATAAAATTTGCAATGGGTGTCCAGCTTACCCGGGCCGAAAGCGAGGCTGAACCAGTCCGAGTCCATGATCAATCATGATTTGGAAAATGAAACAAGACCGTCATTGTCGGACTTACACCACAAGCGGCAGATCATTTTGATTGACAGCCCATCACCGCCATGCTCCGCCATGTCCTCGAGGCGGAAGCATGTACTTTGAATCAGATAACGGCAAACGTGCAGCAAGTAATTGTCCACAAGACCATCCAATTCCCGACTAGACCGTTCGTCTGCTGCGAGCACACCATCCCAGAAAAGCATTAATCCGCTACTTTGATCAAGAAAGCTATGTTAGGACAGACGGACGGATCAACGCCTATGTAAGTGATGATCCCAATCTGCACGCATGGCGATGAAGTAACGGTCAGTACATAACGTCTATTTGAAATGTCAACATAGCATGCTGTATGTAGTAAAGTACACGCGCTTGAAGCAATAAGAATACATCCATAATCTAACATCGGAACCGGTGTGACCAGCAACTGGATACCTCTGTTAGGGCTGTCCACCCATTGGGCTCATGTCTTGAAGAGGGACGTCAACGACACCAAGCTCAACGACAGGTGGTCCGTCCATCTCTCGTGCATGCTGTGGTGTGGGCATTGCAATGAGGACAGCTATGCTTACGGCAGGTGGTGCCGATCTGGACGGAGATGAAGGTACAGGCGTAGAAGCGACAATCGGAGATGATGTCGTTGGTGCTGGTGAAAAAGGTGTACGAAAAGGTCGTAGCAAGCGCATCGTGCGAGAAGGCGCGTCAGATCGAATTTGGGCTGGCTCTGGCCTCGGAGATGGAGGCTTTGGAGCAGATTTAATATGGGCGGCGTAGACGGGCTGTGACATGAACTTAGCGATAGTGCTTGCAAGACGTTCTGCGCGAGAAGCATACCATTATGTCATCCCAAGCACATTTGCCGTCAGCTGAGCTCTCTTCGTCTCCACTGCGGAGCCATGCCTCCCACAACTTGGGCTTCTTTCCAATGTCCCTTCGTCTGCGACTTCCTCTGGGGTCATATGATTGGTGAGGGAGCCATGTCCCTGCTCGGATAGCTTCCTCTACGATGCGTTGATGACGTCGTCGAAGGATGAGACTGCGAATAACAATAGCGGATGAGACAGCAAGGAGAAGGACGAGGGTAGCTATTAGCGCCGTGTATGACATAGATTCACCAGGCAAAGGATTTGAAGTCACCGAGGAAGACATTGAGAGTGATGAGGGCGGGGGGAAGAAGGTTAGTGGGAGTGAAAGCAAGAAGTACGAGTGACGCACCAAGAAAGGTGTAAACTGTGAAAGGTGAAGTGATCATTTTGGTATTATGGGGACGATTTCAGGGCAATATGATTTAAAGCACAGGTAATCGAACCGGTTCGGGGAGATTGTATAATGCAAGCGATGAAATTCCAGACCCAGAGGAATGGGCGAGAGTATCACAGACACACGAGTAGGAAGTCAAAAGCAGAGGAGTGAGGGAAACATTGGAGAGCAGTGTGAGAATTGGTTGAGCTACATCACCATAACGATCAATCACACTCACGGTACAAGGCAGCGCTCGAAGTTAAACTGGGTTCGGTATTGTCGGAAGAAGTCGCGGAACTACCACTGGTAGTGGTGGTAGGAGTGCCAGGAAAAGACGATGGAAACAACGGTACTGGAGGGGTTCTGGTTGCAAGTAATGAGCTGGTAGTGAGACTAGACATTCTGGCAGCTGAGAGATCGAAAATTGCCAAGTGGGAGCAAAGAGTCGGAGACTATTAATATGTGAGGTCTTGAGAACACAAAGAGAGAAAGAAAAAAGTAAGGCAGTCAGAGAAATGTGAGGGTTTGGTCGTCGTCCACAGCGATGAGCTGGGAGTTACTTTCAACACCTGATCGTCGCGATCGTCGCGACCAACTTGTAAGCAATATTCACGGAAATTTGCGAAATGAATTCACACACTTATACTGCCAAGCTTAGCGCACCGCGTTCTTGTTCTACCAGACTTCATTTCTACCAGTACCTTGTCAGTGACTGCCAGTATGCCTAGGGGTGAGGAAAATTTGGTCATTGCCAAGTCTCTTCATTGACAACATGGGATATACTCCATTGACATCAGTATCCTCCGACGGTGCCACCTAGGGAAATCGATCATTTTTGCATCCGTGCATCAACTTGAACCATGCCTGAATGATGCTATCATCACTCCCCGGCTGATACCGTGCGGAATTCAGGTCCCAGACTATTCTTACAACTCTGGCAATGAGGTTGGTTATTACTATTGGCTCTGAAAAGTATTTGTATTGTCTAACGTACCGTAGATGTGACTGGGACCGGAACCAATTTATGCTTATTCGCACCGTCCCTCTGGTGATATCCACGGTCGTATCGACGAGCGAAAAATGGCAGCTTCTTCGCAAAAATTTCATTCTGTAGGTGCCTTGCTTGGTCCTGCGTAAGTAAACCCTCACTTCGGTGCCTGCTCGTGACCGGAGGTCCTGTCAACGTGTCCCTTGTATTATGCTAGCATGAGTACTTCTCATGTCATCTATGCACGCAAGCGATGTCGTGCGTCCGATTTCTGTAAAGCATGTGTACACTGCACAGCCCAAGTGACCCGGTATGTCATGATATATACCCCTGACCGCTGGACCCTTGGCTCTGCTTGCTCTCAGTTTCCCCACAATGGTTTTCAGTGAGCACTTCCGGCGTTCGCTCCATATTGTCACCTACCTCGCCTCTAAGCGTGAATGCATACAGCGCAAGGAAGAATCCATCCAATATCTTACATATTCGATTCCGAACACAACCTTATTCTGCCTTATTACGGGTGCGTGAAGAACACGTTGCCCTCCGGATCATTTGGCTTCATGGTCTCTCCGTCCGGATCCATTGCGTTCACTGGAGCTGGGAAAATAAAAGCAGCAAAAAAGGGTCGCTGCCACTTCTTCTCGCGCAAACATGCGCAAAGTTTATTCCTGCCAGCTAGCATCGGCTTTTAACAGACAATATTTTTCACCTGATCAACTCCTGCATATGTTTCCACTGAAGCGGCAGCAAGACTATAGACTCTCTCGGACCCAGATCTGCCATTCATCCACACGGTATTCACTGGATGTCCATCTCGTTTTGCGAGATGTCGATGTCGACGCCGATGAAAAAACAGCGCATGTTCCCACGAAACGAGACTTAAGCGCTTCATCCGCACAGCCCGCGCGAAGCGCCACGATGATAAAGCAATGACGACGTACCTTAAGACCTCTGAAACAGCGACTTCCCACCTAATTTTACTCTGTAGCAAACCGTTCACTCCGTTGCAGCTCTTCCCTCGTTTGGTTTGGGTACGATCTTCTGAGTGAGTGGTGGCATTTCTTTGATGCGCAAGAACTGAAATTGACATCGCCTATTAGGGGAAGTCCCCGAGCCAAAATTTGCTCCTGCGAAGAAAGAAACTTCAGTACAAGTGACACAGCCTCGCCCCCAAAATGCGAGGGCACACCAACATCGTTAGTGGCATCCTACGCCTACCTGATAAATGACGGATCATCACCTTTTCATGAGATGGCTCACTTCGAGTCTGGCACTTGGATGATGGAACGCAGGTCGGGGAGGCTTGGAAGGATGAAGGGAGTGGAGATGTACACGTCATTGCGTTGTCACCGGACGGCAAGACAGGAGCAAGCGCAAGTCAGGATGGTATAATCAGGTTGTGGACACGCCGGGCAAGGTCATCGCGAAATGGACGGGGGCACACAGAGTTGGTGTTGTCTGTCTCCTGGAATCCTGACAGAGCACGAGTGGTGAGTGGATCCGGGGAAGAAGAAATGGAACTTATAATCGGGAGTGTCGAGAGTGGGGAGACAATCCTTAGACTAATAAAGTCAAGGACAGCATGGTGCGCACATTTTGCTACTCACCCGATATCACTATGATTGCTATGGGCGAAGGGTGAATGTCTGGGATGCTAAGCACAGGCGAACCACTCAAAATACTCGACTTCGGACTAGTGGCATTTCCATCCGAGGTCCATATCAAGCTGACATGGACCTCGAGTGGAAAGACATATCGCCGTGCCATATCACAACATCAAGAAATTCGATACAGTCAAGTGGATAGAAATCGGCGCCCCCGACGGGCACGAACATTCTGTCTTTGACATCTCACTATCTCTGGATGAACAAATCCTTGCGAGCGCATCGGACGATGCGACAACGCGACTATGTAACCTCGAAAACAATCAGCCTATTGGACCACATCTGCACCTTGAAGAGGTTAAACGTGCGGCCTTCACTGCAGATGGAAAGTTCCTCGCCGTTGAAGCTGGGCTCAATGACCTCCTGTCAGAACATGTGAGCTTGCATATATTTCATCCTCAATAGATGACGAATCTTCCTTTGGTGTGTTGCATGAGGTCCCTTCAACAACCTTATTCGCTGATCTTCGCTGATCACAGAACACCATTCAACGTGTATGTTATGCTTTCCTTGACCATTTGCGTCATTTCGAGCATCCACATCCTAGGCTGACGTTATACGACGATGAGTCCCGAAATTCAAAGGTGTACTACCAGGGTTTTTTGGATGACGTACGTGATCTCCATGTACAACTTAGCAGCTCATTTGACTAATATCTTATCAGTTCGCACGACAGCACCGCATCAACGTAGTCTTCTCGGTCACTTACCTTCCTTCCGGCGCCGCCGCTCTCATCTACCCGGAGAAACTGAACGCAATACCCGTCTCGATCCCGCACTCTCAGCTGGGCACAAAGCCTCGTCTGGCATGCTACGCAGACAGACATCCAGTTGCGAGAGCCACCAGTAGTTGAGGCCTCGTGGCGCAGAGGAACTATCACGCAAGAGGGAGGACAGCTACCAACTCTCGGCCGGTCAATCCCCATACCACGCAGTAACACAGCGGAATGACCCAAATCCAAACATTATCCACGACACTTCATGCAGTCACTGGCATTGCAGTGGCATCTGGAACAATGTCACATCCGGACATCACTTTGGAAATGAATCCGTCAAAATAGTGGTAAAGATCTTTCTATTGTCTGGACTTGCGCTCGCTACATTCAACGTACTTATGTATACGCGATCTTAATCATGCATCATGATGTGTGCTTGCGCACTTCTGTTGATCAACATACAAGCTTCGCATATTTCATGTATGAGCGTTACATTTCACACATATCTGCTACGACTTGCATACATGCTGTGATCTCATGCATACCTCCGCACTTCTGTTAATTACTTTACAAGCTTCGCACATTTCGTGCGCAAGCTTTACATTCACAACATATCTGTTACTACTTGCATACATGCTACAAGCTCATGCATTCCTTCTACCATTCTTGTTCGGGTTTGTAAGCCATACAATTGCAAGGCAGTAGCCGGCCGTAGTACGTACACGCCAGCTGTTTTTTTGTTGATGGCCACAGCATAGAAGGCGCACCCGGACAGAGCTCGAGTTGTTGAACAAAACATTCACTCCGTTGCAGCCTTCGTTCATTCTGCATAATATTCTGTGTACCTTTGAGTAAGTGATGGCATTTGCCTTATAGGTAAGAACTGAAGATGACCCGTGCCCATCAGCATCAGGTGAAGTCCCCGAATCGAAATTATGTCTTCCCCAACCCTTGCAAAGCAAAAGGACTCAGAATCAGCGACGAAGCCACGCCAAAAGATACAAGGGCACACTGGACATGTCCGTGGCGTCTTACGCCTGCCTGGTGAATGGCGGATCGTCACTTGTTCAGAGGATGGCTCGCTCCGAGTCTGGGACTTAAAAAGCGGTACCCAGGTCGGGGAGGCTTGGAGGGACAAAGGAAGCGAAGAGATGTTTGCCATAGCACTGTCGCCGGACGGCACGACAGTAGCAAGCGGGAGTGAGGATGGTGCAGTGAGATTGTGGGGCATAGACACGGGCAAGGTCATCAAAAAGTGGACGGGGCACACAAAGGAAGTGAAGTCTATCTGCTGGAGTCCAAATGGAGAGCGCGTGGTGAGCGGATCCGAAGACGGGACACTAAGAGTGTGGAGTGTCAAGAGCGGAGAGACAATGCTAGGACCAATCAAGGCAGGGGGTGTCGCCGGCGTGTTCGCAGTTTGTTTTTCACCTGATGGCACGATGATAGCCACAGGTGGAGTTGGGCTGAAGGTATGGGATGCCAACACAGGCGAACTTCTCAAAACACTTGAGGGAGGCATTTTCTGCTTATCATGGACCTCCGATGGAAAAATACTTTTCGCTGGGTTATACCACCAAATCACGAAATACGATACCGCCACCTGGACCGAAATCAGCACTTTCGAGGCCCATGGAGGTATCCAGGGTATTTCACTATCTCCGAATGGGCGTATCCTCGTAAGCGCATCGTCCGACCAGACAATGCAACTATGGAACCTCGATGATGATCAACCAATAGGACCATTCCTCTACCATGAAAGGTCGGTAACAGGCGTGACCTTCTATGCAGATGGAAAGTTCATTGCCATTACCTGCGACGACCACCACATCTACACATGGGATGTCTCTGCTATCGTCAGAGAGGCTGACCTGGATGACCTTCTCTCAGACAATGTGAGTTCGCACATATTTTATCCACAATTACATCGATGATGAACACTTTCTTTCAGGTAGTACGTTACATCAAGTCTCTTCTGCAACCTTGCTCACTGATCTTCATTCATCACAGAACACTGTCAAGAAGTCATCCAACGTAAACGTATGTTTCATATTCCTTGAACCCTTTGCGTAATTTGGAGTATCTACATCCTAGGCTGATTCTACACGGCAACGAGCCCCAAAAATCGAAGGTGCTCGTCGAATACCACCAGCGTTTTTCGATGATGTACGTGTCTCAGATCCCCACCTATGATTTGGCGGTTCCTTTAACCAATATGTCGACAGTTCTCGACATCACACGGCCACCACACCGCAGAACCACGTCAAACCACCCGCCTGGGTCGCTTACCGTCCCACAACCCTCTCAGCTGGGCTCAAAATTTTGCATCTGGTATACTACGCAGACAACATGGATCGGATAGGTTGCACATGCCACCAATAGCCGAGGTCCCGTTAACAGCGGGCAAGCCGGTACATTTTTTCCCTTGTTGGTTCCTTGTCACTAACACATTTTGACAGAGGGATTATTATGCAAGAAAGAAGAAGCCCTCTGCGAGCTCCTCTCGACCTCCCAATTCGCATACCACTGCCCAGCAACAAGGTGGCGGGGCGACCCAAAACAATCTGTTATCATCACAGCAACCACCTGCCATTGCCACGCCATCCACGACGCCTCCCACAGTTGCTGGTACTACAGGGGCGGCTAGTACAATCTCGCCTCCTGATATCACCATACAACGAGCTGGATGGCGGGCTCGTTTTCTGCTCTGGATTTGCTGCGTGCCCATTCAGAACACCGCTGGTCAACATCAGGGAAGCAACATCTAGTCTCTCATGCTTCGGTGTCATTTTCTTTTTACTATCATTTGGTTCTTGTTGTAGTTCATCAGCATGTAGTCACTTGTGCGGATCAATATACATCAGGTGTCGCTCCAAAATAAACCAGTTGATAATGGGCACTGGACAGAATCAACGAGTCTAATTTGGCCTTGATCATGAGCTCCAGATGAACTGCACCATGATCCAAAAAAATAGCCAGTGCGCCGAGCCACTACTATCACTCCATCGGTCTACGATCCAATACTGCATCTTCTACCGTGACAACTACACGTTTGCTTCCACTGATGTTCCATTCAACCCAACCCACTGCCACCGAATTTGCGATCTTTCTCTGGTTTCAGAGCATACGACCCAAAACACTTGGCAAAGTAGAAGAGGGTGATTATATGCATAGTTGGTTCTCACTTATCTCAAGCTCTGCAGGCAAGGTCGACCCAAACGATGCCACTTCAATCCCAGAGATCAACGAAGAATATGGACGACAAAACACAACCGGTTCAACTCAACTGGACGATTAAACAATCTTGCCGCTGGCCTTATTCCAAGTATCTTGTGCCCACGCTGAGGGATAAGTTCGTATTTGGGACGTGGTTGCAGGATGATGTATCGACAAGAGCCTCGTAACATCACATGTGTATCAGGCTTCAGATAAATTTTGGTCAAAAGCGCTCTGTTTTGCGTGTGCCAAACCCGACCAAGCCACCCCGACCAGTCATCTCGTAGCCAAAACATCACTCCACCAACGACGAGTATGCCACGATGAGACGTCACACTGTACGGTTTGGGTTTGTAAATGACATGTCGGACATAGAAATGCATATGAGGGCGTCAGAGCCGTGCACGTCCCGGTCGACATGCCAGAGATAGAGGTGCATGCGCGTGGCGAGGATCGCAAGGATAAAGACCTGAAAGCTGTATGCGTGTTTGTGGGTATTGTCAGTGGGAATTCCAAACAGAAGTTGGAGGTGCATACTCTTCGAGGACGGTATAGTATGCGGACTGTATGTGCGGAACATAAATACCGACTCAATCATATTCAGGGTATGGGGAGGTTTACGCACATCGGATAATAGTATCGGCACGAGAAAGTTCACGGCTGAGAGAACTTTCAGAGCAATCATCATCTTCGTAAGGAAATATATAAAAGTCCAGACTCACAAAGACCGCATACATAGTAATATATGTTGTGCTTCAACAGGATATCATGAAGATGGCCCTTAGCCAACCGCCAGCTCTGTATGACACGTACAAGTGTGAGGGAGACCAGTACTGGCGAGTGTTAGTCAGCCCGCGTCTATACTAGTAAATTTGGGCTCCTAGTTCTCGGTGACATACCCAGTTGAAACACAAACAAGAGGATAAACGATATGAAGTATCGGGTACTGCTCATGCTCCAGTAGCAGCCTAGGATTCCTGGTACCGCGCTAGTCGTAACTGTGAAAGTGGAGTGAATATATGCGAGGGGGAAAGGTGAGTGCACAAACCATATGAGGTGGCAACAGCGGTAAAACGAATGCTGGTGGATGTTACGATAACAGCCTGACTGATTCATCAATCATGAACTTGGATGGGTTAAAGGCATGAGACTGACAAAGATGGCGGACAGCATGCCTACGAGTACGACCCTATTGTTGTTCCAGAGCACATATGTTCTGAGCACAAAAATGCCTGGATGAATGAGATCAGGAGCACGTGTATGTCGTGGAGAAAGAAGAGATACATTCAGAGCAGATGAGTGATATCTGGCAGAAAGCTGTGAGAGGCAAGATCAGCGCTCGGCAAGGATGTGCATGCAACATGTACATGGCACGTACATGAGTAAATATTGATTAAAGTCCGGCATTTCTGGCGAAGTCATGCAGTGAGGGTCTTCATCAGTGGGAGTCTGCTCCACGTTCACATACGTTGGGGCTCTCGTTCAGGGTGAAATTCACTGAAGTACAAGGTGTCAATGTGTTATCCGGGAATATCCTGAAGCTCATCAACGCACGACATAGGTACATGGTGATGAGACCAAATGGGAGATATCGTGTAATGATATAGAGAGCTTTTACTTTGGTCCAGCGCGACCGGACAAGGAATTTCCACTTTGAATAATGTAATATTAATATCCACAGCGAGGTGTAACACGAAACAGATGCATTACCTCTTCATGAAGTGAACAAGCATAATCATAGGTCTGAATAAGTGAGTTTAACGACAGACAGGAATAGATCGGGACAAGCCTACCCAGAACGTCGCGATCGAGGCTGGGCTGTCAAGTTAGGGTGAGGATTGAAGAAGAAGTTGAGACAGTACGCACCGTATAGGTACTGATGCGGCATATATTGTTATCTTGCCCTCATATGATTAAGAAAGCGACGCACCGCTAATAGCTGCAGACTCGTAGCCACTGCGATATCGTCCGCCGAATACTCCATGTTCGATGAGTGAAGAAACAGGATTATTGTACGCACCACACACCTTCTTATCTCTTACGAGTGTGATGTAAATATGATATTGGGGACAGCATTCGAGCCTAAAGTTGACGTATAATTAAACCTAATCACACAGCCACCTGATATATATTCCAGTGTAAAGCAGACTAAAGGATGCTAACACGTTCTCATCCGTATGAAGATACAGGAATGGTTAGCAGTCATTTCATAGTGTTGATGTACCTGTATGGATGAACGATAGCGTCAGGGTTGGAGGCGTCTCTTCCGAGGGTACATCGGAGAACGCGTCATTCTCTACGATACTGCATGCATTCGGGATACAGTGAACCGCTTCCTCGGTCTAAGGATAACATTTATGGACTGTGAAGGTTGTCGATCCTGTGTATGCGGTGGAGGTGTAGATTGATGGGAGCAGTGTTGGGAGCAATGTTGGGAGTAGTAGTGTTGATTGTTACCAACCTATTAAATGGTTGATTAAATGGATCCGCCGTTCAGCTAGTAGGGGTTTGTATGGTCAATGTACCAGGAGTTGTTTGGCATTTAAAAGATGTATCTTACCACAATCGCTTTCATTCGCTCGTAACGTTGATGTACCCGACTAGATGAACAGTGGAGATCAGTGAGGAGAGGGATGGAGGAGGCATCTCTTCCGTGAAATCATTGGAGAACGTGCTTGAATACTGCGTGCGTTCTAGGAGGAAACGGCTAGGGCCGACCTGGACGTGTTTGAACGTGTTTGGACGTCCAAAGCCGTAGCCCTCCGCTGACACGTATGCAAATCGTGATTGATCGGCTCGCAGTTAGCTTGTAAGTTACAAAGAAACCTGACTCTTTGCCTATTCACCCCATCAAACGACACCGGATATCGTGCCAGCTCTGTAAATGTGACTCACCTGCATCCAGGAAATGTGAATGGAAGATGATGAACATTGAAGCCTGGCATGATGGATGTTTTCCAGTGCGAGGCCTTGTCCTCATACGACTTATTACACAGTAAGTCATTGTTTACACTTCGGTGGTACTGTTTGACAAAACAGTTGAAAACCATCGGAACGTTGGAGGCATTAACGCCAACCAGAAGCACCAGTTCTTATACACACATAGTCGTGCATACTGTGTGCGGTTCCTTTCCACGGCGCCCAGCTACTTCGTCTACCATCGTTAGGTTTTTTCATGTTGCAATTGCATTATGGAACTGCTCAGCGAGCATAATGAAACCTTGCAGGACGGGGCTCAGTAGGACTTATGTACTGGAACATATAGCAGGTGGGACTGACCTGGCGGTAGAATCGGGGCTATTTAGTTCCCGTATTCTAAACCAGGGCGGTTCTCCCCACTGGTATGAGTTGCCCGTGTGAGGAATGCATCAATGAACACGCACCTTGTTGATTTTCTGTTGAACTCAACCGTAGGAGCGCCGTAAAATATCATGATGGTGGGATATTGGGTGTGAATGAACAAGCAGTACCGTTCGTAACTCGCTTAGTACTTGACAGGCATGAATAACTATCATCTGAAGAGTATAACAAAATTCATTGAAATACCTTCGATATACAGTAATTCAGCAAATTTCCTGAACATGCGAGTTTGACGATTTTCATAAAGTTTCAAAAAGAGGTTTTCTCTTTTGCGGCGCCTGAGTCCTAACTTCTGTGCGTGGGTTTAGGATAACGCGCAGCAACATAGCATGATGTAACCGTGACATGTTTGACACACCATCATGATCATCAAGTCAAGCATGCGAATATAATGCTGTCCCCAATTCATGCCTTGTTCATAAGAAATAAAAAGGTGCATGGTATGTAGAGAATCCCATTCTTGACTTATCGAACAAACACTGAGACCATGGTAGAGTATTCAGCGGATGATATTGCAGCAGCCAAGATTCTGCAGTACTTGGCGGTACGTTGCTTTCTTAATACTAAGAGGACAAAATAATAACACATGTGTGCCCAACCAGTACATGTACAGTGCGTGATGTCTAAACTACTCCTTCCTCATTCTAACTTGACAGCTCAGCAATGCAGGCGACATTCTGGGTAAGCTTGTCCCCAACCATTCATTGTTCGCCATTAAACACACTTATCCAGATCTATGATTATGCTTGTTCACTTCACGAAGAGGTAATGCACCTGGTCCTTGATGCGCCTCACCTTGGATGTTGATAACACACTGTTCAAAGTGGACATTCCTGCTTCGGTCGCGCTGGAGCAAAGTGAAAGCCCTCTATGTCATTACCCGGTATCTCCCCTTTTGTCTCGTCACCATATACCTATATGGTGCGTTAATGACCCCCAGCATAATTCCCAGATAACAAATTGACATGTTAGGCTTCAGTGAATTTCGCTCCAAACGAGAATTCCAATGTATGTGAACATGCGGCAAACTTCCACTGATGAAGATGCTTACTACATGACTTCGCCAGAAATGTCGAACGGTGATCAATATTTTCTCATGTACGTGTACTGTGCATGCTGCATGCACACCCTTGCCAAGCGCTGCTTTTTCCTCTTGCAGGTTTAAGTCAGATAACAGTCATTTGCTCTGAATGTGTGTCTTCTTCCTCCATGTCATACACGTGCTTCTGATCCGATTAATACAGACTTTTTCGTGCTCAGAACCCGTGCGATCTGGAACAACAACAAGATAGTATTCGTAGGCATGCTGTCTGTCGCTTTTGTGAGTCCCATGTCCTGACCCCACCTAAATTCATGATTGATGCATCAGTTAGGCTATGATCATAACATCCGTCAGCATTCGTTTTACCACTATTTCCACCTCATATGGTTTGTGCTCTCACCTTCCCGGCTGCTATTTGCACCTAATCACTCCACCTTAACAGTTACGACTAGCGCGATCCCAGGCATCCTAGGCTGCCACTGGAGCTCGAACAGCATCCGATACTTCCTTTCCTATATTCTCTTGTTTGTGTTTCAATTGGGTATGTAGCCGAGAACTGAGAACTGGGCGCATAGCTTACAGACGCGCTGACTGATGCCCTGCCCTCCAGGACTGGTCTCCCTAACCCTGATACGTGCCATACAGAGCTGGCGGTCGGCCAAGGGCCATATGTACGCTGTCCTGGTGAAGCATAACATATTCTACTATGCATGTGGTCTCTGTGAGTAAGAGCTTGTGTTTCCGTGCTCATCAGTGATGATTATGTTCCGAAAGTACTTTCGGCCATTAACGCCCTCATGCCAGTGCTATTTTCCAGTGTGCGTAAACTCCCCAATATCCTTTAATACGATTGAGTCAGTGTTGATGTTCTGCACCCACAGTCCCCATACTGTAACGTCCTTGAAGAGTGCGCACCTCCGACTTCTGTTGCGAATTCCCACTGATAACACCCACAAATGTACATACAGTATACAGGTCTTTATCCTTGCGATCCTCACCACGCGCATGCACCTCCATCTCTGGCATATCGACCGGGACATGCACAACTCTGAAGCCCTCATGTACATTTCTATGTCCGACATGTCAACTGCAGACCATACGGTGTGACGCCTTATCGTGTTGCTTATTCGTCGATGTTGGTGGGGTGAGGCTTGGGCTACAAGATGACTGGTCGGGGTGGCTTGGTGGGGTCTGGGATGCGCTTAACAGAACGTGTCTGAATACTGGTACACATACGATGTTACAAGGCTCTCATTGATAATTATTTATCGGGTGCGGAGAATTGTTGGAAGACGAGGTGACGGGTAGGGAGCTTGTTATTCCTCAGGAAAACGATCCTCAAGATAATCAACACCTCCCAGAGCGAGAAAGAGCCAAATGCCCAAACATGTTAATCTTAATGGAAAAGCCAGATACAAAAAACACAAACGCACCGGATACGCCACGAACCGCCAACACACCCTCGAAAAACCATGTGAGGCAAACAGCATCCCAATACCAACTCCCTGACTCCAGCTTCTTAGCACGTCCTTTCTTAACCCCACTCGCCTACTCTCACTCCCTTCCGACGAAAGTGTGAACCCCAACTCCCCCAAAGTACCATCAACAGGAGGAATAATCTCCCTTGAAATAACCTCACTAAGCACATGTGTGATCACACGGAATTCGTGGAGGTGAAGTTTGTCGGATTGGGAGAGGCATTTACCGGATTCGCGGGTGATGAATTTCTGTGTTTGATTAGTGTTGGATCATGGGCGGGGGTGGAGATTGGTAGATGGAAGGGAGGGAGGAAGCATGCAAAAAGCAAGGGAATGAAAATGAGAAAAACACACCTTGATAGGAATACTCTTCCCCGCGAGTTTCTGCCTCAGTCCTTGGACGCGCGCCATCAGTTTCTTCATTTCTGCGTGCTCACCAAACGTGACTAGGCACACTGCCTCGCCGTATGTGTATGTTGCTTTGGACCACTAGGTGCACCGAGATAATAACGAGAGATTGAGGGATGGGGAGTGGAGAGGTCGAGAAATTGGAAGGAAAGAGATCTAGAGATAAAGGGGAAAGATCGACACACGAAGGAAACATACATGAGTAAAAATGAACCAGAAGAAGGAAAGAGAAACTCACCGTAGCCTCACCTCCAAGCTTCCCCCACCACAATCTGCTTTCCGCCACTCTGCATAAAACTACCCATCAGTGTCCTTGAAACACACACATTTACCTATACAAAAACCAAACCCAGACAGCACGAAACCTGCAACTCGGAAATACACAAAACGGAAACCCATCTCGAAAGCCCCAAACAACACACTATCCCACCACGAAATATGGTGTGAGTTACTGTACTACGTCTGAGTTTGTGCAGCGCGTGCGTAGTAGGTGAGGGCTTTTGAGGGTTTGGAATGGACGAGGGCGAGACAGCCTGCGCCGAACAGGAAGAGTACTCCTGTTTTGATGTTGGTTGAGGAAGCGAACGAAGCAGCGAAGAAATATCAGACAGCGCAGCGAAACAACACAAAACATACGCACACTATTCTGCTATCCCATCAAATTCCACTCCAACACCCCCGCAGCCTTATGCACATATTGACACCTTCAAACGTAAACGCAGAGAGAACGAGGTGGGACATGCCAAGACCTAGGTATACGCCGGAGCAGAAATTGGGGTCCATGGATGGGTAGTGGAGGGATGCGTGCGTTTATGGTGGGGTGTGAGATGATGGGTGGGGAGGTGAGGTCTCGTGTAGATGTGAGCTGTGGGGAAGGAGAAGGGGACGTAGAAGGTGTGACGGAGGGTGGATGTGTACGTTGGGATAGCATCGACATCGTTCACGCCCGCCAACACGTATATCCACATTTCTCAGCAATCTTGCCCTTTTCCTTGTAGACAGACTCAATCAGGGCCCGTGGGTGT